CAAAGACAGACAATGTCTAGTGGCCTAAAGGCTAAAGATGTCATGTTGGATAGAGAAGACCAACGGCTTAAGAAGTCATAAATGGCTGAAAAAGGTTTTGAGACGGACATTGAGTGGGAAAACAGACGGCTTAAAAAAAAGTTCCATGAACTGATTATGAACTTTGCCACAAGGTTTGGAAAGTCTATAGACAAGGGACTTTGAATCATAGAAAACAACCAACAGCTTAACATGGTCTTAAGACAGGCTATGAGTGGGAAAAACTTTAACACTCTTCGGCTTAATAAAGTCTCATGAACTGATTAATGACTTTGCCGAAAGAAAGGGACAACTTGTTGTTGTTTGTCCGTTTATAACTTGGGAAAATAGACCCTTACGGTAGTCTTGATGTTGCCTATAACTTGGGAAAATAGACCCTTACGGTAGTCTTGATGTTGCCAACAAAAGAAAGTATGCGTGAAATGGAGATAAAAGTTCTTAACAAAAGCCTTGTCAAATTATGTTCAGATTCTATATTAACTTCAAGCATCTGCATAGATCAGCCTTGTACAAAGGTCTGTATCTACGATTTTGGATAGTATGAGAAATACAAGCTTCAGTTTCTGCTAAGTTTGTAAGATTGAGAAATTCAGTGTTCTTCTTAAAACTCTAACACTGATATTAACTTCAAGCATCTGCATAGATCAGCCTTGTACAACGTCTGTATCTACCACTTGGATAGTATGAGAAATACAAACTTCAGTTTCTGCTAAGCCTTTAGAGGTTCAATGTTCTGCTTAAACTCTAACGCTGATATAGACTTCAACTTTCTGCAGAGATCGGCCTTGAACAAGGTCTGTATCTAAAGATGTTCTTGTTTGAAAATCGGATAATGTTCAAGCTAATGGAAATTCAACCTGCTGCGATTAAACTCTGAGGACATTATGATAAATGTTCAATATTCTGCATATTTACAGGAGAATCATATGTCCTTCAAATAAGGTATGCATGGATAGTTCAATACTCTGCTTAAATTTTGTATACTGAAACAAGATGGTAATATTCAATATTCTGCTCCATCAATGCCTTTTAATCACCAACTTGGTTGGCTGGGACAATCTGATATCGAATTCAATCTTCTGCAAAGATTAGTCTTTTAACCAAGAAGTGTAACAATGTTCTTAGAATTCAATTCTCTGCTTGAACTTTGTAACTTGGTGGAAACGTAATGAACAATTCATTGTTCTGCTTTATGTCCCAAAATTGGGAGTTCAAGTTTCTGCATAAACGGAATAAACTATTCAGTATTCAAGATCTGTATCTAAAGATGTTCTCTATGGAAAAGGCTTGTCGGATGATGTTCCAAGCTCTGGAAATTCAACATTCTGCGATTAATGTACAATATTCTGCATATTTACAGGAGAATCAAACGTCCTTCAAATAAGGTATGCGTGGATAGTTCAATAGTCTGCTTAAATCCTGTATACTGAAAAAACTTGATTGGCTGGGACAATCTGATATAGAATTCAATCTTCTGCAGAGATTAGTCTTTTAACCAAGAATTGTAACAATGTTCTTAGAATGTTACACTCAAATTCAATGTTCTGCATGTCCCAAAATTGGGAGTTCAAGTTTCTGCATAAACGTAATAAACTATTCAATATTCTGCTTAGTTATGGGGGGGGGGGGGGAATATATACATAAGTTCCTTAATAAGGCCTGCTTAAAGACATCAAAAGATGAGAAGATTCAGTTCTCTGCTTAAGCTCTATAGCCAAGAGTCAATTCTGATTGGATTTCTGAGTATTCGGTCCTCTGCATTTCATATTGGTTGAGACTTTGTGAATAAAGCATTCAACCTCTTCATAGTTCAAGAACCTGACATCTTTGCGAGAAGGTAAGTCTTTCATCTCTCGTCTGTGTAGATTTTGACATTCGCCTAGCAGCGATGGTAAGTTCCTTTTTCTTTTGCTTGTATGTACACATATCTTACGCAATCTATGTAATAGAAGAATAGATCAATCTTCCTTTTGACTCACTGTGTTTTAACCATATCTTTTGCTGACTCATTTTTAACAGATAATTGAGGTATAGCTTTGCACGTTGTATACTTCCCACTTTTGATCAGGTAAATCTCCATTCCTCTTCTTTAAGCTAATTTTTTTTTTTTTCAGATTTTGTGGTTCCTTTGGTTGACTACTCTTTTTGATCAGGTAAAGTCGTATAACTGAGTTCATTATTTTAGATTTGGGTGTCTACATGATCTATCTCAGATCTCTCTGTTTGGTTTCAAATATTATGATGCTATTGGTTTCGTTTGAATTATTGTATGAGTTGTGGTAGACTGTTTTGACCTTTTATAGTGTAATTCTCGTTTTCTTTTTGTTACTTCTGGTGCAGATCAAGTTTGGTTGTTGTCTCCATCACCATTGGCAGACATGCAAGTATTCTGAATCCTATCTGGTCTTTCAGGTTTCAGGTACATAATTCTCTTTCTACTGTTTCTCAATTTTGCAATGGTTTAGTTCTCGACTGCATTACATTTTTACTGTAGTTTCATGATTTTGTCTAAGTTTTGAGCCAGAGATACCATTACCAAATGACTTTATTTCTCTATGATGGATTGGTTTCTAACATTTCCCACATTTCGATGCAGAGTTGTCAAAGAAATGGAGTGATGTGTAAGTCTCAGGTACGTGTTCATTTTGATGATGTTTTCATTTCTATAGTGTAGTTGCTTGTTGTTCGTGCTGATGCTTCTCGTCCTCTAACAATTGCTGCTTTCGTCCAGAAAGACTCTTGAGGTAACAAAATTTATTTGGCTTAACTTTAAGAAAGCAAAGCTCTGGTTTCTTTCTAAGGTACGCACACTTAGAAGGAAAGCCTTAACTAATAAGCTAACACGTCTCTTAATGCTAACACCAATGCGTGCACTAACCCACAACAATTGTGCTCACTAGCTAGATATCATGATCATGATCATGATATAAGGGTTTAGTTGAGAACTTAACGTCTAGTGATGATGTAGAAATCAAATAGAAGTCGTATTTTAATATAGGACATTCTTGTAAGTTTGGGCTTCCCAAATTTATAAAATTAGGAATTCTTAGGTTTTAGAGCATGATTCATCAAGTCATGTTTGTGCCTTTAACCAAGGTTTTACATTATTTCTGAAGATTTTCAGAAAATGACTGTTTTTAAGATAAAAGTTCATTCATTATTTTCAGAAAATGAATGATTTAGAAATTAAGTCCTATAGGGTTTTAAGTAGAAGTCCTATAGGGTTTTACCCTTAGGTAATATTCTTAGGCTAGCATGACCAATCAAGTCATGTGTGTGCCTAAACAAAAAGCTTTACATTTTTTATGAGAATTTTCAGAAGATGACTGTTTTATGATATAAATTCATAAGCAGTTCCAAATATTCAGAGAATTTTAGAATAACTTCGTATTAAGTTACGAACGTTATGATTTAGAAGAAAGTATATTAAATTGAAGTTCTATAGGGTTTTAAATAGGAACTTCGCTTTCCAAATTTATTACCCTCAGATAGTTAGCATGACTAAGATCAAGGTCATGTTGTGTGTGTCTAAAGTCTAAACCAAGGTTTTATATATGTATTTCTCTATGCAATAAGAGGATAACACATACAGACTCTCTCATATTATCGGGATTTCTGTTCTCTTTTTAACTCGTTTCTCTCTTTTTTTTTTTTTTTTTTTTTTTTTTGAACAACACTCGTTTCTCTCTAAACGTCCCTTTCTCCAAAGTCTCTCACTTCCACCGTGAACCACCAAGGTTCGTTTCATCCGATTTGGTCCTCCGTTTATTTTTCCTTACATTTATAGGCCAAAACGTGGCCAAAATATTGCTTCGAAATTCATCAGCTATCCTCTTAGCCACTCTTAGACACCCGAGAACCTCCATGAGGTCTCCGGAAAGTAGAATTTTCTGGCATAACTCTAAAGAGTGTTCTCAAGTCCAAAATCACCAATTTTCACTTTTTTCATAGCTTTTTCTTTTTTTATCTCGAGAACTCTTCAGTATCGTCCTGAGATTCCCTAGCCTTGCATGAGCGTTAAAGTATTTAACATTGGATTAATTAACTACTACTGAGGTAGTTATAACTATTACGTTTGATTTAAACCGAATTTGGACTTGACTACTAATAAATGAAGTCAGGGGCTAATCGTTTCATCATTCAAGTTTAGATATATCGTTTGTCAAATTAAAAAAGTGCATTTGCGTACAGAAACATCATCCATAATATCCAATTATTTTGGATATACATGAAATTATTGATTTTTATGCACAAACGAACAATTCCTTAATCAAGTCAAGTCTAGTGACCTTTTCTACACTTCGTTATTTAATGATTAACCGTCTGTTTGATTGTTATCGTGTTCTATGTATAAGCATATGTTGAATATGAATAGGGTATGATTAGTTTAGAAAGTGGAATAAAGTCATATGAATTTGAGTCGTTTAGGGTCCAATGTTATAGGTTGGAAAGTCTATGGGTTATTCGGTTCGTTTTGAGTAATTTGGACAGAAATGTTTAAGAGGCATATACGAATCAAAATAAATTTGGTTGGGCCAATCTGTAAATGGCATTCTTAATTAGGCTGAGTCTGTCAGTGCTAGATCGATTCTCTTTGACTGTATACACACAAGAGTTTCGAATCTGGCAATAATGACATACAATTCATTTCGGTTAATTTTTACCATTCCGCTTTGACTAGTAAGTAAACACATCAAACGGAGAAAGGTCGGTAAATCATGTAACGTATTTGGAATTGTACGTTTCTAACATAACTATGCATGCTTCATACATACTATTAAAACTACACCCCTAATATTTTAATTAAAAAATATTATTTCGTTTTATTGTCAAGATCGTTTACATCTCTCATACATAGATAGAAGAACATATCAAACTCATTATTTCATTTCATACATCATGGATCAACCACAATTGTTATATTTATATGTATACTGATTTAATTTATCTGAGGGTGATCTTCAAGGACATTTGGGTGTGCCTTTGGAGTTCCTCATATCACGGTAGCAAGGGCATTCGTCTTTGTTTCCATAAGTACCCGAAGGAACACAATCACACTTCTGGCAACATATATTGCAATATTCCAGACATCGATCTTGTCTTCCCGCCTTTGAACATCTCCCATTGCATTTTCCGCCGCATGATGCTTGTTTTTTTATTTAATTATCCCACCAAAAAAAAAAATTTACAATCTAGATTTCAAATAAGAATTTTTTTTTGAATAATTATATGATTTATGTATACTTACATGTATCAGCCGTTGAGAGCATGAACAAAGAAGATGTTAGGAGAAGAGAGATAATGACGAATTGTACAACTCCGAACTTCATCCTCACTATTTTTATATGATCGGAATTTCGTTTAAGTTTTGCTTGGATAAAGTTTGCTGCCTAACGAAGATGAAGAAAAAAAAAACTCAAAAGAAGTGATGGTATGGGAGGAGTAAAATGAGGCTACATATCGGAGTTATTTATAGTGGAAAATCTTGGAGTAGGTGAAATGCTTGTTATCTATTGTGTATTTTTTTAAAATCAACTTCAAAGATCAAGATTATTGTAAACATATTATTTTGGTTTGTAAGATCGAGATTATTGTACAATTTTATCTACTAGTCTTTATGTTTAAATACAAATATGTTTAATATAATGAAAGCATTTTTGAAATAAGAATGTACTTTATACTCCCTTCATTACTTTTTAATGAATTTTCTAGTCTTTTTTTGTTGTTTTTTAAAGACAAAATTTATAGGTCTTCAAGATACTTCTTATTGATTTAAATAAAAAAATTCAGATTTTAATGTCAACAGTTATGTTTTTTGGATTTCTATTGGTTTAATTTTTTTTTTAAATTATATATTTATAAATTGAACTTTAACTTTTTCTTAAAATATGTGAACATCTCAGAAAATTCAGTAATAATGAATAGAGGGAGTATTATATAATATTGCATTACATAAATAAATCTAAATCTTTGAAACAAATTTCTGTGACATAAATTTCTACAAGTTGCATATTTATTTTTATGCTTTGTCATTATTTATTTTTTGTCTTTTGTTACATTTTATCAAATCATTTTCCAAACTTCTTTTGCATATAAAAATTCTTCCTGTGAAGAGTATTAATTTCATTGTTTGCGTGCCGTTTGTAATCGTCTTACGTACATAGTACACAAAAATTTCTTTATCAAAAAAATGTATATACACGAAATTATGATTATCATTTTTCTTAATGAGAAATACAAAGACACAATGTCGTTCACGTTGAGCGACCATTGCGTTAAAGCTATAATAAGAGTAACACACGTAATCGGAACCTAAAGGCATGGGAACTTCTCTTACAGCTTTCTCCCCCACTTTTTTCTTTTTTTCTAAGATTTCAACTAATATTCAGTTCAGCTTATATAAAACAAAATCCCAAGAAAAACAGTCCACGAGAACTGATAAAGTATTAGCTTTTTAACGCAATGCTTATCTCAAAGTTAAGGATGTCGATATCAATGCCAGACAATCATTGACTGTGTTTCAAATTAAATTAGTTAGACTAATAAATTACGATGCACCACCCACTTTAACACTACTAATGAAGTATGTTTTTGTCACGACACTTTTAATTAAATTTATGGGGCATGCATTGTTGTTAAAGCTAAACTACAGCTAGCTTGATCTCGCCCTTACACGAATCTAGTCCAATCTGCTGAAAATTGGTATGGATTCAACTGCATACTTATTTTGGTAAAACGCTTATCTCGGGACTTAAATTCCTTTACAAGTGGGTTTTGTATGCATGCTTACGTAATGGTACTCTGCAAAGAGATTATTAGAACTTTTTTTTTGTCGAAGAGATTATTAGAACTTTGAGATATATTACAGTTTATTTATGATAATAGGTCTCAGTACTATATCTATCTATCTTCATATATTTTTAGAGCTATAACATGCTTTTCTATCAAAATTATTTTCTTCAGTCTCTTTATTTCACAAATATTGAGCAGTCATTGTAGTTCTAGAAATTTTTGTTGTCGAATTTGTTGGCAAAGAGTAGCTTATAAGCATATCTTTTTTTTTGTTCAAAGCTTATAAGCATATCTATACTTGTATTTTGTGGATCCTTCATAATTTATGGAATTATCACGATTAATGTCACGTGTCTATTTCTAGTTGGTTCATTAGATTTTGAATTTACGAATTTATCAAAGAAGGCCCATAAAGGCTGCATGCTTTCTGGGCCAGACTCTGGTGCTCTCTCTCCTTCTTTTCGCGGTTTCGGGTGCTAACTTACGCTGGAGGCAATATCGTGCACGCGAAGAAGAAGGGCGTATAATAAAAAAAGAAGCAGAAGGAAAATCAAAATGACAAGTTAAATCGGGACAGGCGTATTTTAGCCGTCCGCCATTTCCATCGCTGCTCGTTTACTATTAAGCACGGTCTCTTTCTCTCTGTATCATTTTGATCTGGTACGCATTCTTCGTGATCTTATCCAATCTCAACATTCGTCGCTGATTCCTTAGTTTCTGCGGTTTTCGATCTCCTTCGTCTTAGATACAAGGAAGTTATTTGGTTTGATCTCTGAGTTTTTTTCCATTTAGATTCGATGGCTGCTCCACCTGCTAGGGCTAGAGCCGATTACGATTACCTCGTTAAGCTTCTTCTGATCGGTGATAGCGGTACGTCTCTCGTCTTTTCTTCTCGGAATCTAAGCGATGAAATCGATAATTTGAATTCATCCGAATCTGTTCATTTTCATACTATGTCAAAACCGATCTAGTCGTTGGGAATATTTCGGAATGTTGGTTCTATGATTAATCCATCTTTGAGTTTGATTTGAAGATCGTTACGAGTTTCAATTTTGTTTAACAAATGTATTTTTAGATCTCTGTAACTGAGAGAGCTTCACACAATTGTTGTTCCAGGTGTGGGTAAAAGTTGTTTGCTTTTGAGGTTCTCTGATGGATCCTTCACCACTAGCTTCATCACCACCATTGGGTTTGTATTCCTTTTAATCATTGTCAAGAGATTAGATTCTACTTTGATGTATCTCTCTTCTCTCTGGATGGCTCACTGAGTCTGTTATGTTCTCATTGGCTTTTGATGCAGTATTGATTTTAAGATAAGAACTATTGAGCTTGATGGCAAACGCATCAAACTCCAGATTTGGGATACGGCTGGTCAAGAACGTTTTCGAACCATCACCACTGGTGAGTGAGACCTTCTTTTCATATTATATGAGCTACTTGCTCTGATACTTATAACATACACTACACTGAGCCACTGGAAATTGAATTTAGAGAGGATTAAGAGTCACTATTGTATGCTCGTAGCTCTTGTGAACTAGCTGAAGGATATCTTTTAGTTTGTGCAATATACATAACATAATGGCTGATGCTTTTGTACCCACTAATTCTTTTTCTGTACATTTTTGCAGCTTATTACCGAGGGGCAATGGGCATTTTGCTGGTGTATGATGTCACAGACGAGTCATCCTTCAACAGTAAATTTTCTTTTGTCTACACATAACATCTTTGGTCTTACATTTCTGCTTTGTTCTGGACCTTTTTTGCTTGACCTTATTGCAGATATTAGAAACTGGATTCGTAATATCGAACAGCATGCTTCGGATAATGTCAACAAAATCTTGGTAGGGAACAAAGCCGACATGGACGAGAGCAAGAGGGTATAGTACAATCGACTTTATTCACACTGACTTACCAGACTTGCTGATCTACGACGAATCAAATTGATAGCTTTTTTGGTAACACATTTTTTTCCAGGCCGTGCCAAAAGCCAAGGGTCAAGCACTTGCTGATGAATATGGAATCAAGTTTTTCGAAACCGTAAGTTAAAAACCGTCTCAATTCTGTAGTCTTTTAAGAACAGCCTAACACTACATTTGGTTGTTTTCATTTGCTTACGATAGCTAATAAGTCATTTCACATTTTAGAGTGCCAAAACGAATCTAAACGTGGAAGAAGTTTTCTTCTCGATAGCGAAGGACATCAAGCAGAGACTCGCAGATACTGACTCGAGAGCAGAGGTTATTAATTACTTATTACATTCTTCTTAAGCATTTCTTTCACTTCGTTTTCTTTGTGCATAAGTACTAAAAAAACATTTCTTTGTCACAATTTCCATCGTTCATTGCAGCCTGCATCGATCAAGATCAACCAAACGGACCAGTCGGCTGGAGCTGGACAGGCCACGCAGAAGTCTGCATGCTGTGGAACTTAAAAAAAGTTCTGAAGTTGAAGTGAAAACACTGACAAATCTTGCTGTGGTGCTTTTGTAATTTTTATTTCTTTTGATGATTTGTTCTAAACTGGCTTTTCTAGCTTGTTCATGAGGGTATTTAGAATCTTGAAGTAATCGTTCGTTCCGAGGAAAGATTCGATACATCTTAAGCTGATTCTGTGGCTGAATTGTTAAAACTTTTCTAAATCTCTTCTCATATTTTGCGATCTCTGTTACATCATCACTTGTTGAAAGCTTTTCCCTTTAGTCACACTTACTAAACGGTTCTCTTTATACACAATTAAGCAAAAAAAAAGTTTATACATTTCGATCCAGCAAAATGTTGACAATCTTAAAAATTCCACATAATGTATAAATTTATAATATTATACATTCAAAAGGAACGCTCTTCTTTGCCATAGATACGCTGAAGTTCCCGTGTCGCTGCTTGGAATGATTCTGAACAAAATCGAAAAATGGGACATTTAGAAGAAAGTCGAAAGACAATGCAAAATCCATAAGAGATGAAAGAAGATTGGACCTTTCCATATGCGAAATGCTTTCTGGTTGATAGGAGAACCAAAGACAGTCTGAATCACATCAAAGAGCGTAGTCTCTGGAGTGTTCCTAAGTTCCTGAACTATCTGATAAATCGTCTTCCCGTTTTCAAAGTAAATATGATTGTTTGGATGCTTTGTTTTACATCCCGCGTGTCTCTCAAATGCATACGCGTTAAGCACCTTCAAAATGATTAAAGTCGAACCAAACTATTAATCACTGAAGAGTTCCACAAAAACGAAAAAAACGTAACTTTTCTGTTGACTCACCTTTGTGAAATCGCAAGCTTGACATCCACAGAGATAACCCGATCCTTTGATGACTCCTCGAAGCTCCTGTTTTCAGATTTACAGTTTACAATACCTTAGGAAGAAAGTTAAGCTTACATTAAGCTGAGGTGAGGAGTGAGAAATTTAGGTTTTTACCTCACGTGAGAGAGCAACATACTTCACAGGAACGCCATCGAGCATACCAGTTGATATCAAGCTTCTGACGTTTGACGGAAAGCTTGTGGAAGCTTCCTTCTTTGACGTCTTGGCCTCTTTGATCTTCGGAAGAGGCTCCAAACTCGGTTTAGCCACTTGTTCTTCACTTACAACTTCGGCGGTTTGTGTTTCTTGCCCAAAAACCAAATCAGATGTTCCTATTGGATCCTCAACATAAGACTGATAGTTGTTGCTAGAGCCAACACCTTGCTCATCGTTAATCTCACCAAATGTGATTCCATGAGAATCTTCCTCATTGCCATAAGGATGACCCGCCAGTGCGAAATTCACAAAGCTACTACTCTCGTTTTCTCTGCTACAAGCTCGGATCGAAGCTGACTCGTCTTTCCTCTGACCATGACCGTCTACTAAACTACTCATGGCGTCCTTAACACGACTAACTTGAAGTTTCCTAATCCCATCACCACCGAAACAGCTTCCAGCAACCTCAACGCCATTAGATATCGACAACTCAACAGACCTATCTTCCATAAAAGCCTCTCCTACACTCTTAGCTTGGTGATGATGATATCGACCAACTTCTGTTCTATCTCTGTCACCAAACAAAAGCGGCCTCGGCATCTCAGTCCCTAGAAGCCGGTCCATGAACTGGTTCGAGACCGATTGGAAAACCGACGAGCTTTCCCACAGTGGAAGACCTACAACGTTTGGTTTGCCTAATCCTACTGGATCTTGCACTGCTTGCTTCTTGTTTGGAAACATCTCTGAGCGAGAAGAATCCACAAACCAAGGATGTGGACGCTTTGCGTCGTCTCTTGTTGAGTGATCAAACACTGAATCTTCCTCGCTGTTATGCTCATTGTTCTTCAGAGGCCAGAAACCTTTGCTTTCATATGACTGGAAACACGATACAATTTCGACAGAATCAGAAATGAATGCAATTTTTTAAAACTCTTCACAAAAGTATCTCACGAAACCATAAACCGTAATGCAAAAGTTCGGAGGCATTACCATCTTTCAGATTTGAGCAAAACGTCAAGAGATTTCGATTCAATCTCTCGGGCCTCCTTCAGTGCGAGTTCTATCTTCCCCAGAACTTTCGAATTCCACAAAATCAAAACTCTAAAACAAATAGAAGCAAACGGAGCAAAATCTATCAGCAATTGAAACCTAATTACTGAGTTAAGAGTGTTGAAATTCTGAAAGCGATACATTTTTGAACGAAAACAAGCTCCTGAAGGAAGGTGACGTCGGAATAGGGGGAAAATTGGGGGAATCGATATATTGGTACCTGAATTGATCGCCGGAGACTCGATCGCCGGTAAGGAAGAGCGCGAGTAAAAATTCGCCGGCTAAGAAAGTGACGATGATGATACGGTGCGCGAGAAGCAGCCGAATTTTGCTTCAACTCTGTTTTATTTTATTTTTCCTAAAGGCAAAAAGCAAAAATCGCATGATCTGATGTTACGGTTACCACGAAGCCGTGTTGAGTGACGTCTAATCTCGACCGTTCATCTCTATAAGCGTTGTCGGCCCAACTTTAATTTGATGGAGCCCTTCACTAAACAGAGTTTTAAATGAGCAGAAGCCCAAATTACTCCACTCATTTATTTTGTGATACACTCATCAGTCATCTCATATTTACTCCTTTTGTCCTCTCTTTATTGTAATCCAAATATGAAATATGCCATAATTGTGATTTAAACTATCACTTTCTGTGTTTATACGTTTTGGGATGTCACAGCATGCATATGTAACTATTTCTTTTAGGAAACTCTAGCAGCACCCAAGTGTTTTGAGTTTTTTTCTTTCTGCAAGCACACTTTTGAGTAAATAAGTTTTTACCGACTCCAATGACCGAGTAAATTAGTGTTTGAGTAGTTCGAATGAATTGTTTGCACAAAGTTGATATTTAAAATTTAAAGAATTGTCGAGTTTAGAGCCAAGCCAGGCCTAAATTTTCCTGCTGTGCCAAACCTACATAGGTTTTTTGGTGGGATTGGAATAGGTTTATTTAAAGGGTTTATGAATGGTTTTGTTTAACAAAATTAGGTTTCCATTTCTTTGTTTTAGGGAGGATATAAGTTGTGTCGTCCATATGCAACTCCACGCATGTATATACTATTTTTTGTTTCGTAAATAATGTTCAAAATTCAGATATTTATCTGTAATTAGGCTTGAGGAGGAAATAGTAGCATGATATTTGATAAAACAGTGTGTGATATTTTAACATGAGCCAAAAGACAAAAGGTTAAAAACTGAAAGATATCATATATAGAAGAAATCTCAAATGCTAAGTAATATATGTATTCACTGAAAAAACAAAAGGATTACACCCTATGAAAGTTTCCTAAATCTGCAGATATATGATCTAAAATATTAAGAAAAATTCAAAGAATGACAGTAACAAATATATCCAGAAAAACAAAAACAAAAACAAAAACATAATCAACAAACTGTTCTTCCAAGCTCCAACTTGAGATTCAAATTCTCCCCCATCCCCAAACCCAGATCCAAACAAGCCACCCTCTTCCCACTGCTCGACTTCTTCAACGTCGTCACCGTCGGCTCAGGCAACAACGCGCGTGTAACCAACGCGCCGGCGCTGCCTCCACTCTCGTTCCTGTGTCTCCTCATGTGTCCTCCCAGAGCTTGTCCCATAGGAAACTCCACTCCGCAAATCGGACAAGGATGCGACGACGAGGCTTTAGCCTTCTTCATCTGTCCAGACAGACTCTCACTGTTAGGCTTCTTGTGGCTCGCACGGTGACCTCCCAAGGCTTGGAACGAGTGAAACTCCTTCAAACACGTCTTACATGTGAAAACGCGTTTTTCATCTCCACCGTAGACGTTTTCTTGCCCGACTCTCGATAGAAGCATCAAGCAATTCGCCGCCGTGGTCTCCGTCGTCGACTTAATCTCCGATATCATAACCATTTTTTGATGATCACGAAATGAAACGATTTAAGAAAATATTTTTTTTTCTGGTGAATGTGTTTTTGGTGTGATAGTTGTTGTTGTTGTTATCGTGGTGTGTTGTGTTTGTGTTTGGTGTGTCTGTTTCGGAACTATTTATAGATATCGAGTTGTGTGGACTGAAGACGTGTGAGAGAATAACGAAAATGCCCTTGTGACTTGGTGGGTAAGGAAGTGGCAGCGAGGAGTGTGGCATTGGTTGTAATTTCGTGGAAGGAGCAAGGGCAAATGACGGAGACGCGGGTTATGTGGTCACGATTTGCGACACCGCGTAGCTTAGGAGACTCTTGAAAGAAAACGAAAGAGTCGTTTGGATGAGAATCTTCCTCGTGCATTCTCGAAACCTTTTTATTATCTTTTTGGGCTTTAGATATTTTTTTATTTCACATTGTAACTACAACTCTCTGAGCTTGAGTTAATTATCTTCTTTTATTCACCACACGCGGCGCGTGATTTCCTCAGCCGTCTTCTAGATTTACACGGAATATTTTGAAATCAACGCCTTCTGTATATATTTTGAATAATAATACTGAAAATATTCAATACTAATCCATTAATATTTTTATATTTCAAAATATAAAATATTTTTAAAAGGAAACTATCATTTAATTGCTAGCTAAAACATAACTTACCAAATTATGAAAAAGAATAAAAAGTTGAGAATATCAGTTAACAACATTAATACATACATGCTTATAAACTTGTAAAACATCACAAAAAGTCTTTGTAAACATCTTGTGTTATACTTCAGTTTCGTTTTAGTTTTTATTGTAAACATCTTGTGTCAAGTAGTAATATTTAGTTGTCCAAAAAATCCTTGTAAATATCTAGTATAATTTTTCACACATATTAATAAAATATATATATTTTTTTTAAAAGTTAGTTTTTAGTATTCTTCTTTAAATTTAACATTAAGCTAGATATATAATATTAAAAACTTACATTGAACAACGGAAATGGCAACTAACACGAAACAAAAAATTAAAGTTAGAACTTAGAACGACAATCATGAAGAAACAGATAAAGTAGAAAACACATGTTATGTGATGTTTACTAAATAGTATGATTTTATTCAATTTAATTTAGTTCAGTTACACTATGCATACGACAACTAACGCCATATATAAAATTAAAAGTTATAATGACAATTAAAAAGAAATGGATAAAGTAGAAAGCACCTGTTATTCAATTTAATTTAGTTCAGCTACACTATTCGCTTTTGAAGCTTAATTTTCAAATTTGTTTTGATGAGTTAGAACTTAGAAATACAGTAAAATCAAAATCATATTTTTGTTCGGTATTGTTATTTAAATATTGCGTTCACTTTAGTTCAGTTTTGTATGTACTTTTCTTTTTTTCTAGAACTTTCTGGTTTGATTAGTTTTCTAGTTTCTTCATATGTATTATAGTACAGATTTGAACAGCTGGTAAAAAGTGTTCGTATTCTTTTAAGACAAACAAAAGATTTAGAATGTTCTTTCAGACTTTGTCGTCAGCAGTGAGCATACAAGCAAAATCCCAGCGAAGGCATGACAACACAAAAAGCGTGAAACGTACGCGTTGAAAGATCGCGTTGTGTAGTGTGGAGTAAGTGAGAGTAAATAACAAGAGGATATGTACGGAAATTTGATGGAAACGTGGGAAGCAAGTAGAAGAAATAAGAAGACAATTATAAAAAGAGAGACTGACGTGGCTAGTTTATTCCTTTTCCACGCGACTCGATAATCTTCGTTGTATACAACTCTTATTAAGTTATCATACCATAAGATTCTTGATTTCACACTCCCTCTCCTAAACTGGTAGATAATTCAGGTCAATAAGAAAAGTCTATTTAAAGTAGTTTATATGATTGGACAAGTATATGTACATGATCGTTGGTTTATAAGATCACCAACCAACTTACCTATTAAATGGATAAATCATATGACCGACTTGTTTTGTTTTTTTGTTTGACTCTCTCTATCTATCTATTTCCCTTTTGCTTTGTACGCCAAAAAAATATTTTTTAGATAGATAGAGCTTCCAGAGTATTACGACCAATCAAAAGAAACTTATCCCTCTTTTCTTTCTAGATAAAATTTTGGAAAATACTAGTAGATAACCATAAAAAAACCCAATATTAACAAACTAGCCATAAGGAGATCATGACTAGAGTATAGTCTGTAATTTATGTAATATTACCAAAAAAGTCCTTCAGTAAAAAGACAGAAATTAGTTTCGAATCTGAGAAGAAAAAAATATGAGATTTGGTTGGCGATCTCAATTGATTGAAAGGGAGGATGAAATTTCCAAGAAGGAGGATTGGTTTATGCGTTTGGGTTCACCTCCTCTAATAGCAGAGTATGGAGCTTTCGGTGCCAAGTATTTTACAGTTAGAAGCTTTCTTCTCCAGCCAACTGTTTTTATCCCTCTCAATGTCGCGCAATTAAGCCGCCAGTCATTACGATTTTGATTTTGAAACCCATCCTACTCACTATGTAGACGACTCTTCAGAAAGCTCCGGCTGCGCACCACCATCTCGGAGGTCGGATTGGTGGACCAAATGTCCAGATTGATGAAATTGGATCGAAAATTGATGGTGAGACAATCGACATAGCTGAGTTCCTTATTCTCACCTCTCGGCTAAGCTCTTCCATGGCTCAAGAGAGTTTGCTCCCATTGCTTATATTACGCCAGATTTAAATCAAGTTCGTGCATTGGAGACAAAGATGCCAACATATTAAGCAATAAGGATTCAACATTACTGTACTATAAGAACTTACACTGTCAAGCTCTCGATTATGATTTTGTAATTGTAAGAGCATGTTTCATGTATTAACTATTCGGTTCCATTTCGAATTGTAAGATTTATCACTTATACTTCATTTTGTGTTATATGAAATAATCATCCTACTCAATTACTCAATTCCAATTCCAATTCCAATTAAGCAATGAGTCTTTGCGTAGTATCTTCTATATTCCCTGGAATCTATCGCATCACAAACCTCCATGAGACTCTTTATCTTCTTCGCTCGATCTTCCTCATACCCAGGAACAAACCGGCGTGTATCAGTGGTCGGCGATCGAATGTGTCGTCGACGTCTCTTCATGATGTGGGTGGAAAGATATTAACATACATGTGAAAGGAGAAAATTGTCCAAAAAAATATTCTCTTTGTTACTTTCTTAATTTCTCAATTACTATGACTATATTCTTCATTTCTACTCTCAATATTGTCATTGAGCAAATTAACCCAAAAATTTTGTGTTGATGTCTTTGTTTTACCATTATTTGACGTATCTAGAAACTTCTTGTGTTTCAGATAAACGTCGGTTGATCTACACTTGCATTGGAAATGAATTAATTTATTACCTCATATAGTCACAGAAGTCTGTTTTAGTAGCCTACTAGCTAGCTAGGTTGGAAATACTTATACAGTTTCTTTCAAAACCAATACATGTCTCGAACCGGTCCATTGGCCCTGATCCATATATTGTTGTTTCCATAATTTTTTCTTTTAATCACGCAAAGATGACATTCAATAATTTCGAAATTAGCAGAAAACTAGAGGCGTTTCTTCTATTTTTTCGTATAACTATGAGTTGAGTTTTTCAGGATAACAAACGAAAACATTTTGATATCGATCGGATTTATATCATGATATAAATGATTTCAGTTACGAATATGTCAAACTATATTCGTTACGGAAAGGTTGTCTGTTCCTAAAAAGGATAACTGAGGTACAGTAATTTTCTTTTAATGTTATTAATATGTTATGTAGCTGGTTTACAAAGATAGAAGTGAAAATCTTTGGCGAACGTAACTCCAATAAATGGGGAGATAAAAACGGAAAGAATACAAGGAAGATCCTCTTACACCTTTTTGAGTTACATTAAATACTAGTCGTTGAATGGAGAGAGAGAGAGATAGAGAGAGGAGTTATGCTAAAATAACTCAACTGACTTTGATAGTAATTAAGTTGAGATTATGCGTGATTCCATCTATCTAACCAAATATAGACAGAGAGAAAGAGAGGATTATGAAAAAGTTTTTGTATATGAGATAAGTGTGATGAGAAGATATGCGAGTAGCATTTAACCATAATATCAGAATGTTCCTCCAAAGCTCATCTCTTCTTCCTCTTCTTCTCATCTTCACTCTCTTTGCGTCTCCTGCTTATGCTCTTAAACAGGTCCTCAATGAATTTCTCTTTCTATCTACATTGCTTTTACGATATGCACTTGTGTTGATTATTTGATTGTGTACAGTCCTACATAGTGTACTTGGGATCTCACGCCCATTCTCCACAATTCTCTCCTGCCCATCTCAATGGTGTTGCTCACTCACATCGCACTTTTCTCGCTTCTTTTTTGGAAAGGTAGCTAACTCATTTTGTTAAAAGTTAAAACCGACCGTGGATTAGTAAATTACATTTTGGTAAAACCATAACTTTAAACGGGAAAAAAACAATCGAACCAAGATAAAAAATTTAGGATTTGGTTCGCGAACCGGTTGGATTATGGATTTCTTCTAGGATTTTGGTTTTATCCGGTTTATTTCGAGTTTAAGCGGGTCGTAAAGATATAACCGAACCGCGTATTTGCCTGTACGATTTCAAAAGATTGCAAGAAACTAACCGACGGTCAACATGCAGTCATCAACATGCAAGAGACGCCATATTTTACTCATATAAGAGATATATCAATGCCTTCGCCGCCGTTCTTGACGAAAATAAAGCTGCAGAAATCGCCAGTGAGATCATCACTAGTTCCCCAAATTCTGCATGAGCTCCTAAATTCCTTTTCTTGGGTTTATCTAACGATGTTTGATTCTTGATATATGCAGAGCACCCTGATGTAGTATCTGTATTCTTAAACAGAGGAAGAGAACTGCATACCACTCATTCATGGGATTTCATGCTTCTTGAGAAAAATGGTGTTGTTCACAACTCTTCTCTGTGGAAGAGAGCCGGATTCGGAGAGGACACAATCATCGGAAACCTTGACACTGGTAAATTTCCCTAAAGAAGGGTGTGATTTACTCATCCTAGATACGTACACATAGGGTTTGGTTCGATTCAAAAGAAGGCATTTTGGTTTGGATTAGTTGAGTTTTAGGTTTTTGGAAAAAACGTTCGGAATTAGTACCAAAATAAATTTGGTTTGGTAGGCTTTTGGAAATTTTTGGTGTGTTTCGGATTAAAAACTAATATTAGATACTTTAACTTTCAGATAATTTTTGGTTCATTCGTTTATAACTTAATCTAGTCATGAATCTTTTTCTATGATTTTTGTTTGTTTGAACTCACGAATTAGAAATATTTATTATATCGATGAAGGTGTGTGGCCGGAATCGAAAAGCTTCAGCGACGAAGGGTATGGAAGTGTTCCGGCTAGGTGGAAAGGCGGTTGCAGCAAGGATTTTCCTTGCAACAGGTAGTGACAAAAATATCGATTTTAGAAACATATATATTGATTTGATTATTGATTTCAACACATGTGAACAGGAAGCTCATAGGGGCTAAATACTTCAACAAAGGTTACTTAGCCTACACAGGCCTTCCCTCCAATGCCTCCTTCGCATCCCCTCGCGACTACGACGGTCACGGTACACACACTCTCTCCACGGCGGGTGGAAATTTTGTTCCCGGAGCTAATGTGTTTGGCCTTGGGAGCGGGACAGCCAGCGGCGGCTCTCCTAGAGCTAGAGTCGCTGCTTACAAGGTTTGCTGGCCGCCTGTGAAAGGCGCATCGTGCTTTGATGCTGATATCTTGGCAGCGTTCGATGCAGCCATCGAGGACGGCGTCGATGTTATCTCAGTTTCAGCTGGCAGTGCTCCCGGAGATTATATGAACGATGGCATAGCCATTGGATCCTTCCACGCCGTCAAAAACGGTGTGACGGTTGTGTGTTCTGCTGGAAATTCTGGTCCTAATTATTTTAGTGTATCAAACGTTGCACCATGGATTATTACAGTCGGAGCTAGCTCCATTGATCGGGAGTTTCAAGCCTTTGTTGTGCTCAATAACGGCCTACGCTTCAAGGTTATGATCTATCTTTACTTATCCACTCTGTTTTTACTTTCTTTCTTTCTTGTGCAACAAGTTATTGTGCTTGGAACGTAGGGAACAAGCCTCTCCAAGCCTTTGCCCGCAGCGACGATGTACGACCTGATCAGTGCCCAAGACGCTAAATCAGCCAATGCGTCAGCCAAAGAAGCGTAAGAAACAGCTAATATTTAATGTACGTAATGTAAGCAAGTACTAACTAGTGTTTGGGTTATGTAGCTTGCTATGCAAGAAAGGTAGCCTAGACCCGGAGAAAGTGAAAGGGAAGATCGTAGTGTGTCTAAGAGGAGACAGCTCACGTGTGGCGAAGGGACAGGAAGCAGCCATTGCAGGAGCTGTAGGAATGATACTATGCAACGACAAGTCTAGCGGGAACGAGATCATCTCAGACGCTCATATTCTTCCTGCGTCTCAGATTGGCTATAAAGACGGAGAAGCTGTGTTTTCTTACCTAAACTCTACGAAACATCCGAAAGGTTTCATTAGCGCACCCGCTAGCAAGCTCAACACGAAGCCTGCTCCTTTCATGGCTTCCTTTTCTTCCAGAGGTCCCAACAATGTCACACCGGGGATCCTCAAGCCCGACATCACTGCTCCAGGTGTCAACATCATAGCTGCCTTCACTGAAGCCATAAGCCCTACGGAATTGGACTGGGACCATCGTAGAACTCCTTTCAACATCTTGTCAGGGACTTCCATGTCTTGTCCTCACATTTCAGGCGTCGTTGGTCTGTTAAAGACTCTCTACCCTCAGTGGAGCCCTGCTGCGATCCGGTCTGCTATCATGACTACTTCAAGAACAAGAGACAACAGGGAAAAATCAATGGTTGATGAATCTTTACAAGATGCAAATCCTTTTAGCTACGGCTCAGGCCACGTCCAACCGAACAAAGCTTCTCACCCTGGCCTTGTCTACGATCTCGACACTGGAGACTACTTAGACTTCCTCTGCGCCATTGGTTACGACAACAACATAGTTAAACTCTTTGCCGAGGACAACCGCTACATCTGCCGCCAAGGAGCTAACCTTCTCGACTTCAACTACCCTTCGATCAGTGTCCCAAACCTCACGGAAACTGTCACCGTCACACGCAAACTCAAGAACGTAGGACCGCCTTCAACCTACACTTTATATTACCGAAAGCTGCTTGGAGTAAGCGTCTCCGTGGAGCCCAAACGGCTAAAGTTCAACAAAACTGGGGAAGTGAAGATGTTTCAGATGACTCTGCGTCCCAAGCCAACAAATACTTTTGCAGGCTACGTTTTTGGAGAGCTGACGTGGACTGACTCCAAACATTACGTTAGGAGTCCTGTTGTCGTCGAGCTTCCTAATAAAGCTACTTAATTAACTCGGATTATTCTGGATAATATTTCAATTCTCACTAAGCTATTTTACAAACTTATTTTACAAACTTAATTAATGTTCAAGGAAAAGAATTAATTAGCATCATTTAAAAGACTATTGTAGACTTGTAGTATTGTGCAAGTTAATATTGTATTTGCCAAGTGGAAGTGTGATAAGTAAGCGAGAGATATTGGATTGTGCTTTTTACACGTGTCCAGTGATAAATTGTGTGTCTACACTCTACAGTGCGACTCTTGACCCACTTGCCCCACCAAGCCTCACTCGGGTTATTGGGTTAAATCCGGCGACGAAGAGATGCAGACGAGATCTTCGTCCTCAGCTCCGGCTGATTTAGTTCCTCTTACACCGTTTCCGGCGGGGAACCGCCGCGAAGTCCACCTGCAGATGGTGGACCCCACGACGTTTCGCGGGACGATTTCGCCTGGTTGGACCATCGTCACTCGGCCGCGATCGTCGTCTGCTAGCAACAACGTCATTGTCGATACGGTAAATGAAGTGATTAGATCAAGATTTTCGATTTTCCGTCAGGGAATTGTGGAACAAAATTTTGAATTTGTTGTCACAGAGAAGAACAAATTTCTGATTATTGCATTGAAATTGCATTTGGAATTGGAACTGATATGGAAGCGTGTGTTAGATTTCTGTGCAATGATTATGTATGATTTGGATCAAATTAGTGATTTTTGTGTCACATAGCTCTTGGTTGTTGCTTGAAAGGGTCTATGATTCGTTTCTCTGCATACGGTTTCCTGGGTATATACTAAGAGTGATCTCCTGCAAAGTCTCATCTTTTCTTTTGTGTGGCAAGTACTTTATCGAGCCAGGGACTGGTAGAGAGTTTCCATCTATAGAATCTGTTCAAAGACACTTGATTGGTGAAGAAGATGACAAACGCTTGATTCGAACAGGAACTTCCTCTTATGAACGATCCAGAAGCAAACAGGTCCCTTCATCTAGATTTGAAATTGCACAAGCATATGGTTCTTGGATTAAGAAAACTTAATCGACTTGCTATGCTTTTGCAGGATCATCGCACCATGGAATATGCCTCCAAGGGTTTCCGTTTGCCCAAAGGATGGAGCGTTGAGGGGATTCCGAGGAAACACTCCAGTCAGATTGATAAGGTGACTTATGTAGCTTATTGAGAGAAGAACACAAATCATTTCTGTTGTAGTCTCTTTGCATAACTAACATCCTAGTCCTATTAGTGTGTGAGAGGTTAAACATGATACTTAAACCATTTGTTCTCTGCAGTATTATGTTGAGAGAAAAACAGGAAAGCGGTTCCGTTCCCTTGTTTCCGCCGAGAGATACTTAAACGATACCAAGCAACGTGCAGATCAGGAGCTTATGCGTTTACAGCAACACCGTGGCGTGTCCAAAGATTTCAGTTTACCTGATGGATGGATCGTTGAGGAGAAACCAAGGAGGAATTCAAGTCATATAGACAGGGTACAGGCTTTGATTACGTTTGGCTTTGCGTCTTATCTTATGGTTCCAGGTTTTTGAAAAGGTTAGTGCTGTTTGTTTGCAGTCTTACATTGAGCCAGGAACAGGGAAGAAACTCCGTTCTTTGGCTGAGGTTGAGAGATACTTGAAAGCAGGCGGGAACGGTAGTGTTGAGCAGATTTCGGTAAGTTTCTCTAAGCTTTAACATCATTTATAGGTACATAAGATGTGAAACGCATTGTGGTGCTTGGTTTGATGGTGGTTTCTTACTTTCAACACATTGTTTTTGCAGCTTGCAATGAACATGAATGATACAAGATTTCAGAGCAAGGTTATTGATCCAACCCCACCAAAGAAAGTGAAATGGGTCCTTGCCGGTCCAGGCGGAAACATGTTTAGTGCGCATGTGAACGGCTTGGACGTCTCTAGCTCGGTCAAACAGACATGGACTGAGGCGTTTGTCTCGTTGATTCGAGACCTCTCTTAACCAATAGTATCTGAATCTTTTGGCTTGGTACTTTTTGTGGGCAGCTTTGATACTTTGGTTTACGGTTGACAAGCTGACCCGGTCTGTAGTGTCTTTCTGTTGTTCATATTCCGGTCTAGTTATAAGTTATAGCTGAACGAAGAACCGGTTTTGCCAGGTTTTCCATGTTCATTGATCTGTGTGAACTGGATTTAGGTGCTCACATTAGCTAAAATCGGATGTCTTGTTGGGTGTAAATGTAATGGTTAATATTTTCCAAATCTTGGAACATGTTTATGTGTTTTTCCTCGCTATCTTTTTTATTTCTATCAACTTTTCCTCGTTATATATGATCGCCAAAGAAAAGAAAAATGAAGGTCTTTCAAATAATTTGTTAGCATGAATGAATCTCATTATCAATGGGAATCAATTTTTTGTTGTTCTAACGAGCTATACTATCGAAATTTAAAGGAATTTTTTCGAATTTTGGAATCGATCGTTACTGCTTCTAACAGTTAGAGCTTGTAGCTCTCGATTTTGGAATCTTAGATTGAGAGGGTTTGTTTGATTTTATCGTATTCCATGTGATGTATTTAATTTAAATACCGTCACCGGTTTATGGAGTGAGGACTGTGGAGTTGTAATTTTCTTATAAAAAAATTGTGAGTGTAAATATAAAATAAAACAGTGAAGTACAATGTGCACACGCAATGACAGCTCTTTTTACCAAAATGTGAATTCACTTCAGTGAAGTCAGTCACCTACTGCAAGATCTTATGGATTTATATTTTCTCAATATCTATTCTTGAATGTACAGCAAGAAGACTGACTCTTTCAATATTCTCTATTTAGATTGTGTATACAGTATAATTTATTTTAAAACTGGTCTAAACCTTTTTCCGTATTTGTCACCTTAAGTTGTTTTCATTTTCCTTTTATAGACGAAAAATTACAAACACATAGGAGATGTATTTAGCAAAGGATCATGTCTAAAATAGGTGTTTAAATTTCATGGATTTTGTAATTCAAAACCAACATGAGTAAACAAGTAGAATGGATGTCTAAATACTTCAAATACTTAAACATATCGGTGTTGATGGAACGCTACTCGATGACATCGTTCATCCAACAAGTAGAATGGGATGTCCACTCTAATAAATGCCGTTGTGGGATTTTATGGTGTATTTCTTCTTTGGCATAGAATTTTATGAACGAAAACTTTGAATATCAGTGCTGTTTAACACTTCTAGAAATGGTTAAGTGGAAACTTCCAAGTTTTCAAAGTCAAAAGACAACATTCTTGGTTATTGAAATTTCTTTTAGTACGATTATTAAAATACTGTGTACGTGCTACAAATTCAAATTGGAGTTGACGCCAGAAAGGACACATAGGCCAAAAATTTAAAGGCCTAGAGACTTTTTCTGAATTATAAATTTGTAACCTCAAGGCACCACCACCCCAGCATTGACTCTACCATATTTATAATTTCAAAGACAAGTATCACTTTACCACATTTCAATGTCATTTTTTCGATTTAATATTAATCTTTTCGATGTGATTTTCAGTAACAGAATTTTACTTCTCTGAACTAATCACGCCAAACTAGAGTCAATTTGTAAAATATAGGAGTGCTCAACAAAATTGACACCCAATTGTTTCTTTACTGCATAATAAGCCATGGGAATCAAATAGTTAGTATTTAACGACGGTAGAAACCTCAACCCAAAATTCACAATCCTACAACTCTTTTTTTGTTCTTTACAATTTTGGTTGAAAACAAACTCAAATTTTGAAACTTTAAAATATTTTTTCACTGACTGAACACAATCTAGTCTATTGAAAGAGTCAGTCTTCTTGTCTGTACATTCAAGAAAAGGAGCTAGCTATTTATGGAAACCACAAAAGAATCGAAAATGGACAACACTAACTGAAAATTATAATTGAGGTTCCCAATTATAAGCTGATATTGGGGTTATAAAATTAAAATCAGATTGAAATTAACCTCAAAAGGCACCTAGGCTCGAACTACAACATTTTTATATATGTACCCATCATGTTTATAACTCTCAATAACATGCATATGATAGTTTTATAGTCACCTACACAATTCACAATGATTATAAAATACAAACTCATCATCATTCCCTATTCTTCTTTTCTTTGTTTCTTGGACCCTAAATAAGCTTGTTAGACTCCGTGCCGTTTGGCTTCCTTCTCTTCAGATGTTCGTGCAGTTTTTGATACTAATGCCCAACACTGTTCCTTATAGCCACCGACTTTGGCTTCCTCGGAATGCACTTAGCTCGAACCGCGTCTTCCTCGTCCTTCTCCGTTGTTGGTCCCATTCTTGAACTCCTGATAAATTATCACATATTCAAGTTATTATAACATTCCAAATCTTTTTATCAAACAATCAGAACTTCTAAAACGAAGAGACGTTTGAAAGACAAACCAAAACGTACGTGTGCACTTTTTACCATTTTAAGCTCTTCAATCTGCTCACGCCATACCCAATTATTGGCATGTACGGGAAATTCATTTTTATAATTTAAAAAAAAAAAAACAAGGCTAAACAGAACTATGCCGTTTCACCTAAAGGGAAGTGAACTGCTTGACGTTTTCAAACGCATTAAATGTTTTCACCTGTCAGCGTTGTAAGAAGAAGATCTCTTCAAAGCAGGAACAAGTTCCTTCTTGGTCTCAATCAAACTGCCGCTAAAATACTCCTTATCTTCCAGTATTACCCTTCCAAAACCCTTTAATTCCTTCTCTGCCCTCTCAAGACTACTATCACCTGCTCCTCGCGTTACCGAACACTCGCTACGCCCGGTCAACGGCAGCCCTTGATCTTTCAACAAAACGGGCCCACATTCTTTAAACGACATCGTACCGCACGATATTAGCTGCATTAACACAGCCGAAGCTCTCATTCTCCCGCTCGACAAGCTCTCCACCGTCCGATGATCGTTATTACTGCTTTCGTTGGGACGCAATATCAGCCGTCCATCTGCTTTAATCAGATTCTCTAAGGTTTCGGGACTCGAATCCGACGGCGGAGGAGAAATCTCATCTCTGCCCAGCTCAGTGCTCTGATTCTCGTAGCTCGCCGGAGTCTTCACCTCCTCTATTTCCTCTTTAACCGGTTTTCTCCGCCGCCGTCGATCGTCCGTCTGCGTTGAAGCATCCGCCGCGAGTCTCCGAGCCGACTCGGCGCTCGACTCGGTTGCTTTGTACACCTTGTATTCACTGAGATCGATAGAGCTCCACGACTGGTTTCGCCGGCGGTTCACCGCCGGGGTATCATCTCCGGAGATTTTCTCTGGGTTAAGAGATCTCGGATCCCTAAATGACGTCGTTTCGAGGAGGCTCCTGGGATTTGAGAGAAGAAGAGCATCGAGAACCTCAGAGCCTTTGAGGACGTATTCTTGGCCTTGAACGGGGAAGATGAAGTCGTCCTCCGATAAATCGTGCCAGACAAATCCATTTTTGTAGCTCCTGAAGAAAAATCGGACGGTTGAGATTTAATAAAGGAATAAGATTTATAAATCCGACGGCGGAGGAGAACTTTTACCGTTTGGAGGACCAAGAGTAGAGATTTGCCATTCCTTTCCCTCGAAGATCATTCAAGCGGTTTAACACATCTGAGAAAAAAAGTTCCAAACTTTTTGAGCTGCCGTGAAAATCCGAGAAAATGAGAAAAAGCTTCAACAAAGCTCCTGATTTTTTAAGTGACAATTCAAAAATTTGCCGCCTTTTTCACTGTTATGAATAATCCAGTAATAATAAAGAGCAAAAAGCCAACGAGAAAGAGTTTGAAAACCTTTTGAACTCAAAAAGCTTGTTTTAAAAAAAAATCAAAAGGGTTCACAACAAAAGGAAAAGTTGTGGGTTATAAAAAGTAGAGATTTGAGGATTACCTTTGAGATAGAGACCATCGTGGGAAGAGAGAGTGACTTCCATGAAATGAGGATGGTCAAGCTGACCATTCCGGCAGAGATAATAGACGACGGGGACTTTCCGGTTAACGACCGGTTTATGACGAGGCTCAGACCAGATCCGGTTCCGGTCCGGACTAGTGTCTTGATGGTCTCTGGATCTCCTAGGGACCAAATAGTTGTTGTCTGGTGTTGCTCTGAACACTCTTGAACTCATCCTCTTTGTATGTTTTGTTTCTTTACTTTGTTGTAAAGCAAAAAGAAAGAAAAGAGACGAAGAACACGAAGTGAAGGAGAGAAGTGAGAGTGTTTGGGGAGTTATGAGAGAGTGATGTTGATGGAAAGACAAAATCTTTTGTTTATGAGTTTGGATTTATAGAAAGTAAAATAAAGGTGAGAGAGTGAGATATGGAGGAGAGAGACTGAGAGAGAGAGAGAGCATTTTTTTTAAAATTGGGATGCGAGAGACAAAGGGCTACACAACAAATGAAACTTTGCTCTCAATGTCTCTCTCTTCTGGCTTTTCTGATATAAACCATCTATCAGCTCTTACTTAACGCCAGTCGAAAAGCATTTTCTAAAGTCAATATAATTTAAATTTAAATTCCTGTCATGACTAATTCAATTATTCTGTGACATTTATAGGTGAGTATTTTCTTTCAAATTTGAAAACTTTATAAGATTGGTAGAGATTTTTAAGTAGTTTTAAAATCTTTCACTGTTAGACTACAACCTGTATGTCTGAACTAGGCTAAATTCTTCAGAAGGTTAACACACACACAAAACATTAGATTCAGTAGATTTTTCGAATTTTCAGTTATATTGAGTAGTAATTTGTCAATTAATTTTGGTTGTACTTTTTGTGTACCTCTGTTGGAAATCAATGTATTTTCATAATTTTATTTGAATCAAAAGATCGTCATTTAATGATCTTAGCTCTGTCATTATCTTCATTACTATCTAAAATGTATATAGCGATGTGAAAATATATGTATGTATGATACTTAAAGACAAACTTTACTTCAAAAGACAAACTTTATGTACTATTTCTAGAGTTAATGTTTGAGAAATTGCAAGGAATTATAGTACGCAGCGCTACATTATGTGAACTAATTAGTCTAATTTAATAAGACTACGATACATCGAGTCAAGCGGCGCTGTTTAGAGCGTTCTCAATGCAGTTATAAGAATTTAAAATTGCTAATGAGGTTGACTAAACTAGTCCACATAGGTACTCTTCACACCTAACTTTGACTACAGATATGAAACCGACGATTTTAAATAAATGTGTCGTCCGTTTCAACGACTTGTTTTTCCGTGGGACACTGCCACGTGCCACATCCTCATAAGTTTTCAAAACTGTGATAAGAAAATGAAAACGGAGGTTCCCAATTCCAAAAAAAAATTCCAGACAATTTCAGGATTGATAGGTATGTTCGAATATTACAGTCTCTCTACTCTCTCAAGGAAAAAGAGAACCAAAGCTAAGTAGCTCTTCCACGGTCAAATAAAATAAGATTTTACTTATGCTAGCTAGTATTTGATAAAACTGTAGATTCTCTTTTCATTTGAATGATTATGTCTTTACTCAAATAAAAAGGTTATAGTTTGACTTTTGTTTTTCTAACTTTATCTTCATGACAGGAGTTCACGGACAATGGATCAATGTGGTCCCTTGAAGAGATTTTGTGATGAACGGTTGAGATGGATTGAGATGTTTCATTCCATCAGCTGCATTATGTAATTCTTGTATACGGTCACTGGACATAGATACGCTCATCAAATCCAAATATCCTTTTCCACTCATCGAACGGCCCTGACTTAGATTTATCAATACGCCGCTTGTTAATTGTTTAATAGTACACGAACATCTTCTTCTTTTTTTTTGTGTGTTGTCGATTGTCATATCTCTTCTTCACTGAATTTGGATAATAGGTACAACTTATTGCTTTTATATGATAATGTTTTCGGTCCAAAAACAACCTAAATAATGAATAGAAACATTGATGCATCATCAGAGGTTAATCAAGAATTTCATCAGTCTTTTCACTGATCGCACAAATTGGACAAATGGTCTGCAATTTATTGGTCGACATGGACTAATGGCAGATATCCGATGAAACGAGTTTTTATTTTATATAAATTTACAACTAATTAGTTTGCCACTTGAAATCCGATGTTGTGCCCGTATTAGTTTGATAGATTATTGAAAAGAATGTGATATTCATAGAGAAACACGACATTCGACATGCACATGTGCATGTTTATAACAGATTTATATAGCATGCTTCAGTTTTATCGCACACGAAACTGTTGTGTATAGTGTTTTTCTGTTTTGAGATCCCTGTGTATAGTGAAATCAATAGATGAACAAAACAGCAAAAACAGAAAAGAAAAAAAAAGCTGAGAGTCACGTAACAATGGGCAAACAAAAACCAAAATAAAAACAAAATTGCGGTCGGTCGTCCAACTAAACGGCCAAATAATAAAAAGTCGCCCATTCCATTTCTTTTTTCACGTGTGGGACTCAAAACAAATAAATTATTATCCACTTTGGCTGTGTGTTGATACATCCAAGACATTCTCTTTTCTTCCATTTATTGTTCCTCCAACCTAAATACGAGTTTTCTGGTAAAATTGAAGTGTCAAACAAGATATCACAGCTTTTCCCTAATCAAGAATGTATTTGCGTTTGGAACGAGATTTTGGAAAACGGACTATAATGGTACGAAATGGTTACCCTATTATGTTTATCGTTAACTATAGTCTCTGACAGATATTTTGGACTAATAAATTTAGATATAACCCACGAAAACATATGAATAAGTCAAGATTCTAGTTTTGGGTCGCAATTGTTACAATAGAGAAAAAAAACAGTGGTATAGTTAATGCAGATAGTAAAAATTTAAAAGCAAACAGTACAGTTAAAAAAGCAAATAGTACAGTTAAAAAAGCAAAACAGTACAAGTGGAATTTTTATTTTGTTTAACAGATATTTACCCTGGTCGTTTTTAACTAATAACCGTGAGATATTGAACCAAACTCCAGACTAATTTGTGCTTCTTGAATGTGCTAAGGTTTGTGTTAAAATAGGAATTTATCGGAATTGGTATGCGTGAGCGACTGAGCGTGGAAAACATTGGAAAACAAAAGCTAAAAATTGTATCGATCCCTTAAGGACACAGATGCGTAGCTTTCGCACCAAGTCTTTGTTGCATAACAAGTTAACAACCAAGTTCGATGCATATAGTCCAAGGCCCGATTCTCCTAATAACCGAAACCGAAAAGAGATATTTGGTTATCAGACACATTTTATCTCGGTTCTCAGATTCAATAATCATTGGGTTTAGTGGGCTTCTTTTGCTTCAAATGGGCCTAGTCGTTGGGTTTTGAATTAAATAGAGGAAGACATCAACTGTGTATGCTTTGCTCCCACGCAGAAGCAAAATAATAGTGATACAAATGAATACGTACAACTCGCAGAAATGGTGAAATATAAAACCAAAATAAAAAGTTGTCATAGAGTTGATTATTCGTTTAAAATACGCATCTTCATAAATATACCGTATTAGAATAAGGCTGATGAAAGCCTTATCTCTCTACCCGATCAAGATTCAAGAAAGCTAAAGCTCGCTAGTGACTGCTTAATTGTACAAACGCCTTTTCTTTCTTTCTCATTGATCTTTATTAATTTAGAACACACTCCTAGGAAAAAAAAAATGGCAAAAGTGACGATGGCGTGATCCGTCTAAATTCCACATATGATTATTTTGGTTGTACATGTTGATATAGAAAACCATAAAAGTATACTGGGTTGAACTTTATAAAATTGGGACCTACGTTAAACCGGACATAAAAAAAACCCAGCTCAACCAAAATCATATTGGATGGACCGGTTAAACAAGTCACAACATTTCTAATGACAAATATTAGTTTAAACAATGCGATATTTATCCAAGATAATTTGATATGTGTGGGTGGAGTTATTCATGGTGAATTAGTGGGGTTTCAAATAAAGATAATATCATACATTAGGGCTAAACAGAGTCGACTCATTGTTAGCGGTGGAGAGGTTGCAAGATGTCGCTATAGTCGAATAAATAATCTTATCTCTTAAACTAACCAAAAAAAATTGAATATTACTGTATTTAATTTGCCTAGAGTGCTAGCATTATTTTTTGTTGATGTAATTATTATTCCGATAGATGGATCGTGAGTCATGTAGATGAAAGACAGTGCCCTGCGAAGGCTTTGAGGGGCCTGAGGCCAAATTATAAAATACATTTATTTTTTTAAAAAAAAATTGTGAGTTACTAAATAAATAAATAAAAACTTTAAATAGGTAGAGAGGTGGTGTCGAACTTGGATGACCTTTTTACTATACTTCACTCCTCTTAAACCACCACACTACGATTTATTTTTAGGAAATGGTGTCTTTTAAACTTATATTATCGTTGAGGGTCTGAAGCTAATGTCTTTTTCATAACACTATAAGCATTCAAAGATAAACTCAACTCAAACATTCATTGTACCAATGTTTTATTTTGAATAGATTTTACATCCAGTTAAAAAAGAAAGAAAGATATGCATGCATGGCAATTGTTTACATTTCGAGTGGAGACGCATGCAATGCAATCAAACAAATGGAAACCAAGTACAGATCATAGGATTCTGAAATTATTTATGACGTAAAAAAAGAATGATAAAAGTGTGGGACTTAAGTGTCTTATCTTAAGTTGCTAAGTGCGTATGCCTTCAAGTCATGAGCCAAAGGAATTGAAGGAGAAAAAAATCTGACTTAGTGGAGTGGCCATAGAGGAAGTGGTGGCGTCCACGTAACTCAGTCTTATATCTGTCTGCTTACTTCACTCTAATCTCTTGAGAATTTTTGGGTCCTCCATTACAGAGACACCTTAAAAAAGTAGAGCCAATTCTTGAAAATTCTGCAATGTTACACAATTAAACTATCGCTGAGATTACTTTTTCGAGTATAATCTAAGAATAGATACGACGACCAAACTCAACTAACAAAAAGAATAGTATTTACCTTTATCTAATCTATTCATCTACTAATCATATAATTCCAAATGTACAACTCTAATCGACTCTCCTTAATTTACCGCTTAATTTAAGTGATCGAATCCAACTAGTAATTACTCGATGGCTCAGATCCATATGCAGTAGTAGCTTTCAGATTGTGCTGTGAAGAATTTTGTTAAATAACTAGTATATTGGACAATGGGGACAATTCGAGAAATATGAAAGCAACAGGCGAAAACATTAGAACCCCGAATCTTTCCACACCATGATAATCACAAGCACAACCACATAATCTTTGAGGGGAGATTAAGTTACAAAACCAACTGTAGAAAACCATATTAACAAGTTTGTTTTCCTTTTTTTTTTTGGTTGTTTCGAATAAGCCAAATGTTAAGATTAATGATCGGTACCTGTTATCATCGCCCATCCAAATTCCGTAGTGACCTAGTCGATGCAATTATTGAGAATCAATCCATAATGGCATGTAAGTTCCCTTTCTTGAAAAAAAGAAGGAAGAGAATCAGTTCTTGCTCTCAAGTTTCTCTACCAAAACAAAACAAAGAACCAAATAATTCATACTATACCATGATTATTTCAGTTTCAATTTTCATACAAATTTACCACGTTAAATGTGCAGCTGTAATTTAGGGGTCGGTTTGAAATCAGTATAGTTTTTTTTCACGGCCCTAAAAGTAGGATCAGACCGAGACTTCAATAAGGTTGGACCGGTCGGTCCATGAGTTTTTTTCCATGTACATACCAAAACCCGATTTGTTGTTAGCGTTTCGGCATATTTTTGTTTAAACGTCAAAGAGAATGCAACATCAATCTGAGTATAATTCTCTCAGATTCTTGTAGGTCATTTTCCACAGAACAAAACAATTTGAAGAATCTTGGGAACTCTTTGCCAATTAGAGATATATACAGAGAAAAGAAGAATACTTATTTATATACTCTTTATTCTCTGCTTCTATGGACCAAGCACACCAGGTACTTTCACACACAGAGTCAGAACTCAGAATCTCTCTACTCTACTTTAACTCATGCATCTCATCTAGAAGATCTAAGCCCACATAAATTGCACACGTGACCATACATATGTTATATATAAGTTTAATGAAATCCATGAAACCATATGGTAATAAATATATATCGTAAGAAACAAGTATTACTATATCACTAGCTAATCCTAGTTTCTTGAAAGATTATGGTGTAAAACATCTAAACTTTCCTAGACATGAAAACAGAGCACCAAGAGGCAAATAACAAAGCCAAGCCAAACCAAATTGGCCTTTCTCATCTAAATAAATAATTTAGTTGAGTGTTTAAAACATATAATCCTACAACTAATATCTAAGTATCTATTCAAGTGCTGCTGCTAGATACAAAAGGCCACTTATCAGACACCCATAACAATTCGACCCCTTTTGCTATATGCTTTTTAGTTTCCTCCTTTCTCCTTTTTCTTCTTTTTTTTTGCCTTTTGTAAGCTTTCTACAGTGATATCTAGATTAACCTTTAATAAAGTCAAGGGACAAACTGCAATCATTAACTCATAAAAATAGTAAAAAGACTGTCTAGAGCCTTCTTTTACTCTAACAAGTGACATATTTCTTCCATATGAATGTTATAAACCTTGAGACTAAACAAAGCTAAAATTTTGTTTGTTTTTAGATAACAGTTTGATCATATAGTTTACCTTATTCCCTCCACTGGTACTTGACATTTTACTGACACGCGAGAGAGGAAGTGCAAATGAAACTATTGAGACCTGCCAAAGAAAATATAAGAAAGTGTTCTTATTGCAACACAGAAAAAGACAAAGAAAAGGCAATTTTAATGGGAGTGTTACATCAGTGTACATCAATCTTCTATTAACGATCATTTCCTCTTTCTTTAAAAAATAAATAAAATATATGCTCTAATGGCTTGATGGCATCATAAAAACAAGAGACCCCACATTATCATCAGCATAATCTCTCACCATATGGACGGTAAAGATTAGAAAAACAAATCATTAGAGAATTTTAATAAATGTGAGTGTGATATCGCGTAGACACAACACAGTGTTATAGTTGGCTTATATAAATCTTGGCCACAAGATGCCATAGGTTCCCATAAACCAAAGCTGAGAAAGTGAGAAGTAACATTTCTTAACTATTCTGAGAGAGAGAGAGATAGAGAGAAGTAATAGAGAGAGAGATGAAAACAGTGGTGCAAGAAGAGTACCGTAAAGGACCGTGGACAGAACAGGAGGACATCCTGTTGGTGAACTTTGTCCACTTGTTCGGGGATCGAAGATGGGATTTTGTAGCGAAAGTTTCAGGTTTGAAGGTGGAGGGAGAAACATAAGAATAGGTATAGGCTTGTTGTTTTTAGGAGAAATGGGTGGTCTTTGGAAAGGACCTTCCATTAAAGATATGACCTGGTTTTGGCTGTAGGTTTAAACAGAACAGGAAAGAGTTGCAGGTTAAGGTGGGTTAATTACCTTCACCCTGGTCTCAAACGTGGCAAGATGACTCCTCAAGAAGAGCGTCTTGTCCTTGAGCTTCACGCCAAATGGGGAAATAGGTCAGCATGAAACAGAGAAACAATAAATAAAAAACTGTTTATCAATTATAACCTCTCTCTCTTATTGTTTTTCTTATATTTGCAACTGTTCTTACGCAGATGGTCGAAAATAGCTCGGAAATTGCCGGGGAGAACAGATAACGAGATAAAGAATTACTGGAGGACTCATATGAGGAAGAAGGCTCAAGAGAAGAAGCGTCCTCCTCCTATGTCTCCAACTTCATCATCTTCAAACTGCTGCTCATCGTCTATGACAACTGCGACTACTCAAGACAGTGGAGGATCCAATGGGAAAATGGGTCAAGAAGGCGAAGATGAAGGATACTACTCGATGGATGACATATGGAGAGAGATTGATCAGTCTGGAGCAAACATTATCAAACCGGTGAAAGACATGTACTACTCAGAGCAGAGCTGTTACTTGAACTTCCCTCCACTGGCTTCTCCGGCATGGGAAAGCTCCTTGGAGTCTATATGGAACATGGACGCTGATGAAAGTAAGATAACGTCTTCTTTTGCTATTGATCAGTTTCCTATCAGTTTTGAACATGGTAGATCGTCGTGGTCGTCTTTAGTCTAGGTGTTTGATTCATTTGGAATGTTTGTTTATATGTGTAGCATATATATATGAATATTATCAAACGACTGTAGTAGTTTTTCATGACTTTACATCACCTCCCAATGTACTGATCTCATGTGTAGTCACCATCATCATCATCCTATGCCTCTGTTTCCTTCAAGTATGTTAGTTTGTAGAATGAGTGAAAGAAAGAAAAAAAGTCATATCCATCTTTTTCTTCTTAGAGAGATGCTTTTCCATGGATACTATTGTAATACAAGTCAGAACGTTGCTTCCAAAATGAATATTTTGATGTTTCTGTGCATAGAAATCATAATTAGACATTAATGTTGACCCATAAGGAAGTCATAGATGAGAAGGAAGAAAAATAGAATCAAGCAAGTAGCAACATGAGTGAACAAGGCATATTCATCTGCTAAATAATCAAGAGAATGTGTTTGACTTGTAAAGCTTAAGCCAACTTTGTGAAAAAAAAGAATGTATGCTTCTACTTTATCATCTTATTGATCAAATCGAGTATGATTTTTTTCCTTCTGTTTAAGTAATTGCTCCATGCATGATAAAAGATCAGTTCCCACTCTGTAGTCTTTATGGTAAGATATCCGTTCTTATTTCTTTATATTATATGAGACCACTAAGAGATTGCAGCTTCAGCTTTTCCTTTATAAACTGTTTAAAGTTTCAATGGAAAAAAGAAAAAGATGGCTGCTTAAAAGTATGCAAGCAACTATTATCAACTAAGAAAAAGGATCATCTCACTAATAAACAAAAGAAGTAAATTGTAGAATAAGCAAATATGAAATGACTGGCTGATTCCCACCAAACAAGTATTCTGAATCTTTTAATTGGCATATAATAACTTGGTGATAATTTGGAGATAACAATTAAGAATATATGATATATCTTTCATAATGTGATTTTACCTGCCCACTTTGCCTCACCAAGAACAATTAAAAATGGAGAGATAAAAAAAAATTAAGATCCACAGACTGAAAAACTCAACTATGTAAAAGTCTCATAATCATACACAAAACATCCATAAATATTATACACCCAATATATAAGACTATCTCCTTTTCACCCAAAGTTATTGGAAGAGTGTGTAAAAAGGGATGTGGATATATGAATCCAGGCATCATATTATTCAATCAGCAGTAGATCATTATAACAGTGCAACTCAACTTCAAAAGAAACGAATAGAAACTCTATGGCTACTGGCTAGCCATAAAAAAATTAACACTAACCAATTACCAAATTGGCCTATATGAGATCGTCGCGATTAACGAATGATGATTAGTGTCAAACTTGAGTCGACAAAAGATTCTCACCGAATTGCATGCAGTGTTCATATTCCCTTGAAAGGTTTTGAATCTGTATGTATGGACACTGAGTTTTCGCGCGCTCCAGAAAAAAAAAAAGATAAAATCTAAAATTTAAAACAACGACTAATAACAAGGACTAAGTTGTTAATTAGAATCAAATATCATTCGCTGGGATTGCGCTCACTAAAAGAGGATGTTTAATCAATTATACATAGTTTGAGGTTCGATAGAAACTAAATAGACTTTAGGAGTACTTCAGTGTAAAAAATATTTAATTGTAGCTGAAATTTTAATTCGCCTAACCGAAATTACTGTACGAGTGACTCACGGCCACACAAACACGTGACGTCGTCACTCGAATTTAATCCGCCGTCAGAATGCTATTCAGACGAGCAAGCCACACTATTCGAGCCGCCGTCTTATCTACAATCCTCCGCCGGGGTTTTTTTTTTTTTTAATCGAAGATGTCGCCTTTCGTGAAGTCGTATCTGTTTGCTTACAATTTTCTCCAAGCTTCAGCATGGTTTGTCTCACACTCTTTCTTCTCGTTGTCACTCTGTTCTCTTTTCCGTCATTTATTCATGAGATTTGAGTTTTTCGGCAGGACGATTTCGCTTCTGAGTATCGTCAACAGCGTTCCGTCGAACAATACAATCAATGTCGCTTACTCTTCTGCTGGATATTTGATAAGTGAGAAGCCAACTTCTTCTTCTGTAGCGCTTACGATTTTTTTTCGATATTTGGCGCTTACTCTTCTGCTGAATATTCGTTCTCGATTGATTAGTTTAAAATTTCTGAAAATGATCTTTTTTTTTGTCGGTTTTTGATTGGTTCAGGTGTGATGCAAACTGCTTCTTTTCTTGAAGTTCTTCATGGAGCCATTGGTAATAATAATACTGAAATGATTTGATGTTTGTTGATTTTTTCCCTTTTTGAATGAATTATGAATTGAAAGACTGATTGATTCCCTTTGGATTTTAAAGGAATTGTCCCGAGTGGATTCTTGTCTCCACTGATGCAGTGGAGTGGAAGAACACACTTCATTTTGGCTATTGTTGGACAGATCAAAGAGGTTTCCTGTAGTTTTTCACTTTTACTCCTAACCAAAATAAAAGAAGTTTCAGCAAAAGCAAGCAGTGTAATTCTTTTTTTCACATTCATTTCTTTAGGTCCAGGATTCGCCGTGGTTGTCAATAACACTTGTAGCTTGGTGTATCGGCGAAGTGAGTTTGATCTTCGCATTGTCTTATATATCAATCTTTACAACAACAAGACAGAAATAATGTTCTGGTCACTTTTGAACATACATTAGCAGTGATTAGAGTAGATTAAGAGAGAAATCTTTTAGCAGAAGGGAGCAATGTCTAGGTGGAACAATGATGTTATTACATTCAAATAGTTGTGTTATCTTTTGAAGGTGTGTTTAGCTGAGTGATGGATTTGGATGCAGATGATCAGATACCCTCACTATGCTTTAACTTGCCTCGGTACATGTCCCTATTGGCTAATCTATCTCAGGTAATAATACATAGTGCTTTATAGTAGTGTTTTGATCTGATGCATGTATTGTGTATACGTGATTGCATAATGAGTTATACAAATCCAGGTACACAGGATTCATCATCATCTATCCAACGGGGCTAACGGGTGAATGTGAGTGCTTTAAAAGTGTATATGTATTGCTCTCTGAAGCCTGACTTCTTCTTTCATTTCTTCTTGTTGATGCTGACCATGTTTCTGCAGTGATGATCATGTACAAAGCGCTTCCACTTGTTAAAGAAAGGAATCTCTATGCAAATTTCTTCTCTGTTTTCCCCTTCAGTTACTACAGTTTCCTTTGGGTATGTTCATCGCTTCCTTCTTCGTCTCCTTCAACAAAACCCTTTTGCCTCAAGTATCGTTTATGGATATGCTGATATGCATCTTAATGAAGCTGTGTGCACGTTATGTTTTAAGCAGCGTTTTTAGAATTCTGTTTCAGAAAATGTCTTTTTTTGTATTAATCTTCTTGGTCTCTTTCATAATCCCATTTTTAGATATCATCGTCATAATCATTAGCTTTTCCAATAATGAACCATTATTATTTGTCCATGGCATGTTTGTTCAGGGCGTCCTCTTGGTATACCCGTTCCTTTGGTTGAAGCTTTATCTGCAGCTGTTCAAACAAAGAAAGTCCAAGCTTGGCAAAGCAGGCAAGCATCACGGCAAGAGAAAGAGAACGTGAAATATGCATTCGATCATGAATCTTCTCCTCAGGTATGTGTCTCTGTGCACTAACTTCTTGTCCCCCAAAAAGTCTGAAGAATTTAACAAACTTTCTTTTTCAGTCTAACTAATTAAAACCAGAAAGTTCGTCTTCAGTCAAAACTAATTTAATGATTTTAGTTTTTGGTCGACGAACTAAATTAGTTTCATTGTATTTTGAATTTAATGGAACTATATCGTTTTCCTCTGCTGCAGCTTTGATTACCAGTCAACGACTCGTGCAACTCAAGGTATGTGTTCGCCATTAATATTGAAAAAGGTGCTCAATCTTTAGAACGACTTTAATTTCTATAGTACGTTGTTATCAGAGAAAGTTCTTATTAATTGGCCGGAACCACCAATGATAAAAGTTTGTGATTATTGTTCAAAAGTGTCGCCACTATGGTTGGTTTGATTCACATGTGATTCCTTGTAACACTCTTATTTACTCAACTGAAAAAAACAACGTGTCCTTTTTTGTTAAAGGAAAACAACGTGTCCTTATTTGTCCATTTTACTACGGATCAGAATTTATGTATGCTGAATAAAAAAACTACTACATGCTAATCACAATTGTCATCTGCTGAACCAACTTCAAAAAAAATTATCGGTAGATTAAGTCCTTCTATTAGTCAATCAAATATGGTTGGAGCTGAAGCATCCGACAGCAAAAATGATTGAGACTGAAAAGCAAATTGTGCCAACTGTTTGTGGACCACGACCATTCTAAGTATGGAACGATTGATCTTTGGGAGAGTCGAGAAAGTCTAATTTATGACAAAACATTTGAAGATAACTTCAAACTGGTTGGGATTTGCTAGTCAAAGCATTTAGTATTGTCAAGTCGACTTTTAGACGAATCATTCAAAATCAAAAGTGAAGACACGTGGAATAGATTTCATTTTAAGGTCCAAGTCATGAAAGATGAGTCTTGTCCACATATGACTTGTATCACTGTTGCTATGTGCCGTCCAAGAAAATGCCACCATCCCGAGTTCCATAAGTTTGATAGGCCAACTAAAAAGACTATTGTAAGTATAGCTCACAGAAAATTGTAAAAAATTACCAATATAGTTTATTTGTGTATAGATTAGGATTTAGGAGTCTCAAGGTCTTTTTCTCCTTGTCATTTTATGGTATGTGTTTCCTTCAGTTAACTATAGACAACAAGAGTCCGAGTTTATGTATTGGTCTGCATTGCTTTAAGAAGAGAAACGTCTTAAAGCTAAGCAAGTGACCGTGAGCCGTTTAAGTGTGAAACATTGTAATTCCTTGTGAAAAAAAAGAAGAAGAAAACTTTGAAAATCATACCACGAAGCTCGATAAAACTGTTTTGAGTATTATGTGCGCAAAGAATATTTGCATAACAATGAAATGTATAGTGTACGATCTAAATGAAAGCTAGGTAAAGTAAGCAATATCTAAATACTGTATATAACAATTCAAGGTATACATTTATCGCAAGAAAAACAATGTCACATTAAAATATCAAACATATTTCTTGGGCAGTCCACAAGCCAATCTAGTATAAGTCTACATACAAACAAAAATGAATATTTTACAATATACTGCGACCTAAACTGGACCTGTCTGAATTTACATATCTTTTTGTAAGTTTGCTCACGAGAATCCACTGCAGTTATCTGGTAATTAAAAGGGAAGTTACGTGTTTAGGAATCTCTAATAAGTCAAGGCAATTTCTTATATATTTTTTACCCTTATGATCAAATATGAAAGTTGTAACCACTTTAACTAAACAAAAGACTGAAACTTGTATATGGTTAAAAAACTTTGAATAAATAAGATTTTTTTTTTTTTTTTTACGTTTAGTAAAAGACTTCATTGTGTCATGAAAAAAAAATATATATATCAATCACTGTAAGGGATCATTCATAGTCTTAAAACAGAGTATAACAAAAACACAGACGACACTGATCAATGGACGACCTATATTCTTCTATTTGGCTTTATCAAGAGGTATCATCATTACATTTGCTGTTTAGGCTACTTTGATTTTCTTCGATATTAATTCTTGTTTCAAATGCAGAGCATTGATGAGATGAGCCAGAATCTTCAGAGCACTCTCTGTGAACTAGAGACACTGAAAATGGAAGCCAGCGAGAAATCAAGAACACACAGAGAAGAAGTCAACCACCTTCTCAATCTCCTCAAGTTCACTCAGCAAGAACGAGACGAAGCTAAACAACAATTATCTCAATTTCTCATCCAAACCCAAATCCCAAATTCAAGAAGCATCAATGAATCAAACAGCCTCTCTCATGATGGATCTTCTTCTCCTTCTTCTTCAGAGCTCTCCAGCTTCCTCTATATTCATCCTTCTCAGCCGTCGATGATCATCGAAGATCCAACGGCTAACAATCACCAGCTCGATCCTCTTGACTTTCTCGTGATGGGGAAAGCTTTTCCGGAGACGGGAAAGCTTTTGCAAGCGGTGGTGGAGGCTGGGCCGCTGCTTCAAACGCTTCTCGTGGCGGGACCGCTTCCAAATTGGGTAAACCCACCGCCTCAAACGCAATCGCAGCGTTTTGATTTACCTCCTCCCACTCCTATCGCGTTTAGAGGATCTCACGCTGATGTCAGTAGTAGCGGCGCGTCGGGGCGATGTGATTCTGGGACGTGTTCTGGTTCGGTTAAGAGATTTGGGTTTGGTTCGAGTTCGGTTATCGATCAAACGATGTTAACTGGAAAAAGGCAGAGATTAGAGTAGCAAAATCGATCGTTTTACGAGATTTAACAGTGCGGTTATTGTAAGTTGGGTGATTATTTTCGTCCCTTCTTTACGATTCGAACTCCGGTTCGAATAAACCGGTTATTGTGTCAAGTGACGGTTTCACTCATTTCTATCCATAAAAGAAAATCGAAGAATTACTGGACAAGAAAGGAATAGAATTTGATTTCACTCAATTTTTTACATAAATAATTCTTTTTCTGCTCAAAAGACATAACTTTGCTTCAATCCTCTCAAATGTTAATTTTATTCATAATCAATAGTCTTTTTTTACATCGTGTACTATTGACTATTGATTTTGCTAGGCTCTTGCTCCAAATCAGGTTTGGAAGGCTTTTCATCTTTGGTAATTTCCCAAATATCTTCGTTTTTACCAACAGCTGATTATTATGGTCATGCCAAAGGCTGATCGATATCAGAGATATAAACGTGACCCATCTTCTTGCGTTTTGTCTCCATGTATCTTCTGTTCTCCTTAGTGATTGTTGTCACCACCGGCACACGGCCAACTACCGCGAGTCCGTACCCTTTCAGTCCCGTGAACTTGGCCGGATTATTCGTCATCAGCCTCATTGTTCTCACTCCTATGTCCCGAAGGATCTACGTTTAAGACCATATAATATATCCAATAAAATTAAGATATATAACGTGGACTTTACGTTTCTTTCAAATATCCAAACCGAATGAAATTTTGATCTTGTATTATGGCTGACCTGAGCACCGATACCGTAATCACGAGCGTCAATGGCTAGTCCGAGTTCAATATTGGCCTGAACAGTGTCGTGTCCTTGGTCCTGCAAGTTATAAGCTCTAAGCTTGTGACCAAGACCAATGCCTCTTCCTTCGTGGCCACGGAGATACACAACAACTCCTCTTCCCTCTTTCTCGATTAGCTCCATGGCTAACTCTAACTGCTTACCACAATCACACCTTCCCGAACCAAATATGTCTCCGGTTAAGCACTCTGAGTGTACTCGTACCAGAATGTCCTGACCATTCCCGACGTCTCCCTGGTTAAGATTCAGAACAAAAATAAACGCAAGACCTAATCAAATACTCTTTTTACATATTTAGAAGCAAGTGGTGTTTGGTTTATCTTAACGAGGGCGATATTCTCGATTCCATCGAGTTTTGATCGGTAGCAGTAAGCTTGGAAAAGACCCGATTTGGTAGGCAAACGAGCCACCGTGACTCTCTCAACAAGCTTCTCTCGCTTTCTTCGATATCTACGAGTATATCAAAATTAACCAAAGTCTACTTAGCTTGTTATCTGTCTTCTTAATACATTTTTTTCTTTTCATCTTACCTGATAAGATCAGTCAAGGATACAATGGGAATGTCATGTTCGGAAGCAAGCTTTCTCATATAAGGTAGAGAAGCCTTAGACCCATCTTCTTGATCAAGAATGGCTGAAAGAACTGAGATGGGACGTAAACCAGCCAATATCATAAGATCTACTGAAGCTTCGGTGTGACTTGCTCTCCTAAGAACTCCACCGTCTCTGTACTTGAGAAGGAACACATGACCTGGTCTCTTGAAATCATCTGGTTTAGCTTGGAGAGACGAAAGCCTAAGAACTGTCATCGCCCTGTCTGAAGCTGATACACCAGTTGATGATGTTCCTGATTTTGCATCCTGTAAACCAAAAACTTTATCAACAACTCAGAAGCATGAAACCCTCTAGAGAATAACATTTGCAAAAGTGTTACCACGGTGATGGTGAAAGTTGGTGCAGAGGAATCTTCGTCATCTACCATTTCAGGTGTAAGGTTTAATCTTTCGAGGTCTTCTTTCTTCATCCCAACTGAGACAATCCCGGAACCATTCTTAATCATAAAGGCTATCTCTTTTGGACTAGTTAGAGTTGCCGCCATGATCAGATTCCCTTGAACATCCCCATTTTCATCGTCAACGACGATCACAAACTGAAAACATAAGAAAGAAATGTATCTGTACGTACAAACCTAAAAAAACAGATATATTAAACAATGGTCTTAATTATGAAAAATCCCCAAGAACAAACCTTCCCTTGTCGTAGAGCTTGAAGAGCATGTTCGATAGAGGAATAACCTCGAGTAGGACAATCTGGATCACCCTCTGCGTCACAAACGAAGAAATCAACACTACTCTCTTGCGTGTTTTCCACGTCAACTGTCTTCTCGAATGAAGCAGAATCAAACGACGACGACTCATTTATTCCTCTCTTATTCTCATGACTAGCCTTGATCTCCCAAGAAGGGGTACTATTAACCCATCTCCAGGAAGTAGCAGCAAACCTAGAAAGCGACCTATACGAGCCAAACAGCCACTGTTTTTTTTTTTCCAACGAGACAACTACAGAAACAAAGAGTGAGAAAAGTTATATAAAAGATCAATCAAACCTTGGATTAGTGAAGGAGTGTGCTAATAAGATGCGAGGAGATAACAGAGATGCCATCTATCTACTGGATACGAAAAAACAGAGGATAAGATAAGGACATGAAAGAAACGTATACAGTAGAATACAATATATCTCTTTATAAGATGGACACTCTCCTTGTCGTCTACGTTGAGTTGTTTTCGTAACCATATCTGCAGATTTGGAAAAATACGATAACGACCACACTTTTAAAATAATGGCTTTATCTTCTTTGTTTTTTTCTGCGGGGGCCACACTTTTTAGTTAAAAAAAACTTTTGAAACAAAAACGGAAACCCGCTAGCTTGTTTGGAAGGTCTTTGACCTTTTGAAATTTCCATTTAAAGTACATTCGCATTTACGAGTGCTGACGTGGCGGATCCTTAGAAAATCCCCCAACCAACTGAAGGAAGAAGGAAAGGAGAGGAGTGACGACGGTGGAGCAAATCGGATCGAGTTGCCGGAGAAATTCATCCGGCTAATCTGTTTCAGACGGAGATCCGCATTTCTCCGATCTTACCGGATCGACCGTTGTATTGAGCTCAGAAGGTGAAATCACCGTGGTTTCGCACGCTTACATTGCGAATCGGCCATGGCTGAGCCGGAGACAGTAAACGGAGAGAAGGAGAACAAATTATGGAAAGGCGTTTTCGCGGTTTCCGGCATTATGTCTACTCTTGTTATCTACGGTGTTCTTCAGGTCCATTTGTGTGTTTTCATAATACAATACAAAATTCTGTCTTTGGAATTTAGCTAAAGATTCTTTTTTTGATAAAGTATTTAGCTAAAGATCCGAAATTTCTTTGTGGGTTTTTTGTTTTGTTTTGCTTGTTATTTTGCAGGAGAAGATAATGAGAGTTCCTTATGGATTGAACAAGGAGTTCTTTAAGTACTCTTTGTTTCTGGTTTTCTGCAATCGGCTCACTACATCAGCTGTCTCTGCTGGTGCTTTACTGGTAAAACCAGCAAAACCCAAACTTGTGTGTGTTTATGTTCATATACGTATTGCCAAAGTTTTAAGAACTCTGTTTGGGTTCTTCGTTTGTAGGCGAGCAAGAAAGTTTTGGATCCTGTAGCTCCGGTTTACAAATACTGCCTTATATCAGTCACTAACATCTTAACCACAACATGCCAATATGAGGTACGATTTTATCTTCCACCTCTGCTCTTAAAGTATGTCTGCTTTTATGATTAATGCGTTTTCCGTATGTTATGCCTCCAGGCTCTCAAGTATGTGAGCTTCCCAGTCCAAACTCTTGCAAAATGTGCCAAAATGATACCAGTAATGGTAAGTTTGGCCTCTAGCATCACCGTTTTGAGTTTAGCATCACCGGTTTTTTAAATCTTTGTGCTCTATGCAGGTATGGGGAACACTCATCATGCAGAAGAAGTACAAGGGATTTGACTATTTAGTAGCTTTTCTGGTGACTCTTGGCTGCTCTGTCTTCATTCTTTTTCCGGTATAAATCTGCTTTAGACTCATTATTCAATTAATTTCAAAGGCTTCGGTTTAGTTATGAGTACCTCAGTCACCATGAAACTGATGTTTGTGTATGTTAAATCTGAGCTTGTAGGCAGGAGATGATATTAGTCCGTACAATAAGGGAAGGGAAAATACTGTTTGGGGTGTTTCCCTTATGGCTGGTTATCTTGGGTATGTGATATCCTAAGATTTTGTTGTCTGGTTTTAAGATAGGAATCTCGGTACTTTGTTGTTATTACGCACACGAGTCATGCATGAATCATGATTGTGTTATTTGGTAACTGGCTATGTAACAGGTTCGATGGCTTTACAAGCACATTCCAAGACAAACTCTTTAAAGGATATAATATGGAGATACATAACCAAATATTCTACACAACACTTTGTTCCTGTGTTCTGAGTTTCACTGGTGAGACTTCTAATTGTTGCTGCAATCGTTACTGTAAGAGTGGCATCTTTTTTTTGTCGCTTTCATTTTTTTTCTGGACACTGGACCATTGATCTTTTTCTGTGACTTTCATTATCTCTGAACACTGGACCTGTTTGTTTCGGATAGGTCGTTTTCTTTCTCACAAAAATATTCTATAGAAAGAAGACGTTTCTCCTCATTCTTTTTCTTTTGTTTTTTTCTCTTTTGTTCTCCTCTACAGCGACCTGGTTTAAGCTTAAGCCGATCATTACTAGGCTCAAGCCTTGTCATATGTTAGTGATATTAACATGTAATTAGCTGCAACTTTTCCTAAGCTTCCTCTGTTTCCGACTCTGTTTTGTGTTTCTCGTTCAGAATATTTTTCTTCAGCATAAACCTCAGTGCGTTAGCATAAAAGAAGAACACTATCTGGTCAATCATGGTCGTTGCTTATCATTCTGTAAATCTTATATTTTGTAGGACTTGTATTGCAAGGCCATTTACTACTTGCTGTAGATTTTGTTTCTCGGCATAGAGATTGTCTACTCGACATCGCTCTGCTTTCCACAGTAAGTTTCAGTTTCCTCTGTTCTTCTACTTTGTCATTACAGTATCATGATTCGTCCAAATTAGTCGAATAGGTCCACAAGATGACATGTATAATTCATGAGACAGAATTTGAGTTTAGTTTTGTGCAAACAAATCCATGATTCTATGATCCGAAACAAAAGGCTTCATTGACATCTTATCATACAATCTTCCTCTCTTGTCTCTGTAACTTACTAGAGACTACTGTGCAGGTTGCAACAGCGAGCCAGTTCTTCATTTCCTACACCATTAGGACATTTGGTGCTCTTACATTCGCTGCAATCATGACGACGAGACAGGTAATAAAACAAACTCGATCTCAGTCAGACTAATCCGTCTTAATAACAAACACACAATCCGTTTCTAACTCAAATAATCCGTCTTAATAAAGCTTGCAAGCATCATGCTCTCATGCATTTGGTTCTCTCATCCGCTTAGCTGGGAGCAATGTATCGGCTCGGTAATATCTTAGACTCTTTTACAAAAAAAAAAAAATCGGAACATGAACCATTTTATCTGCAATTACTAACCAAATTCTTTGATCAGGTCATCGTTTTCGGGTCTTTGTACGCTAAAACCTTACTGAACAACAATAAAATATCACAAAATCAACCGCCGCCTACAGAACTTCCGCAGTACGAAAAGGCTGAGGGTTCTTAAGAGAGAACCTTTGCATCTATTTATATATGATAGTTTATAGTCTATACATGCTAATATATGTTTTGAATTTTAGATATCATATGTGAAAGATGAAAAAGTGATTGTAGTTGGTCAGAATTTCTATATAGCCATTGAGAATGAGACATCGGACTGATTCTCCCAACAGCCAGGCTTTCCTTTTTTGTCACTCTTTTTATACTTCTAAAACTACATATTTTGTATTTCTAGCTTTGGAAAATTTAGTACTATTCAAGAAAGTTAAATTATAAAGAGAGCACCGTAACAAAATATTATTGGTTATCTCAGAAGAATGGTTCAAATCCGAAGAAAGGGAGAAGCATTGATCTAGTAAACATTATACATAACAAGGTCTTCTTCTCTTTAAAGGCGATGACGCTGATGAGTATCTATCAGTCTTACTATATTTATTACGCGGACTTCTTCTTGATTTCTACATATATATACTTGAATACTTCAACCGATGAAATTAAATAATCCTTATAACTTATAAGTTAGCAATTTGTTGTAAAAGCGCATGATCAGTGTGTGTTATAGCTCGTTAACTGTCTGTAAATTTATTCAAGGAATTGGAAGAAAAATAATGATCAAAAGTTTGCACACAAATATATTTCAAACTAGTTTATTAGATTGTATAATTAGTTTTCGTTCTATGTATATGGTTTCTCCCTTGTTTGTGTCAGTTTAGAGCCATAGAATATGGTACTATTATCTTATTTGATCATAACCGAACATGAAACAATAACAATACAAAACTAAAAAAGACCAAAGACGATTTCTTGATGAAGCAATTGATTCGTAATTCGTAAACGTAAGACGACGTCAAAATGGAAGGTCCAAAATTCACACCTTGCATTAAATTAAATATTCTAAAATAATTCATATTTGGTCTTAAAATATGAAATAATAGAAAGGAAAGTTTCTATAAGCAACATATGGCGTGATGCCTTTTAGCAAAAACAAAAAAAAAAACAAAAAACAAAAAACATTTTGCGTGATGTGTAGTTTCGTTCAACTCACAATTGTTAAATCAAAGTCAAACGAGGCGTATATAAGGAAGGTCTACTTAACTAATACCTACATGGTTGCATATGTGTTCTTTATATTCATTTTGGATGTGTGCATACTGCATACTGCATATAGTCGCGATAAAATGCAATTCAAAATTGTTATGAATATATAGTGGGAGTATGTAACTAATTTATGCGTACGTACACGGGACTTTCCTTAATTATATTGTATACGTTGTCACGAAGAAAGTGAGAACTTTATCTTAAGAAAAATGTAGGAAAAAAACCCAATAAGAGTGGGGTGTATGGTTGAAATATATGCATATTGTAAGAGGCATGTCAAGAATCAGTTTAAAATAGGATCTATATAGTAAATGGCTCTTAGAAAGTTGACCATGAAACATGTGGATTGGGGCAGAAATAGAATCCATAAAAACTCGTTTTTGTCAGACTAAACACACAAGATTCCACATATAACATTCGCAATCAGTATTCATGATCATGCGGCTAAATTCAGTTTAGTCCCAATCGAATAAAATTCTCTTAGCTATTTTTGTCTTAAGGTGAGTATATAACTATAAATGATAAACTTTACCAAAGTTGGAATCGGTATGAAATAAGAAACGGTACAACATAGAATGAGAACATATATATATATATATATATCACCCTCTTATTTCATGAGATGAAAGCCAATTAATACCAATTATGATATGAATTGCTTTTGCTAATTTTAGTTCATGAGAGCTGACCCAAAATCTCACAAATAATACCGATAATGATATCAATCATCTTTACGACGTGAGCAATGATGATCTCTTAAACAAACAAATCATGGAAAAATATATCTCTATTAACAAGTAGTCTTTGATGGACTATCTATTAATAAGTTCAACAGGTTTATTTGGATAGACCCGTAAATAAGCGGTCAAACTTAGTTAGGTCAATTGTATATTATTACTCGGACAAAAAAACAAAACGAAGTGCTCAAAAAAGAAAGAAAGAAAGCAAGTGGGTGGGCGCTTGTCTAATCAAAATCCGTAGTAGGGGACATGGGAGAAGGAGGACCATACATAGAGCTTTATCCTCGTCGGTAATAAATTGCTACACTCGACTCACGTGTTGAAAAACTTTTTCAACCATCTTTAGATTCTCTTTCTTTTTCATCATCTTTTTCTTGTTTTCGAATGATTCTACTTCTTTTCCACGACGGAAGAAAGCTAATTATTGTGTTTTTCATTCTAGGTAACTAACTTCAGAACCAAATAGTATAAAATAGTGAGAGTAGTTTCAAATATTCTTTAAGCATATGATTATATTATGTACACCACGTTGAATTTTGTAACTTCCGTTTTCATTTGACTGTCGGTTGAATTTTGTTAGTTAAAAGGACTGTTGGTTGATTAGTGCTGTCATTCTATATCACTTTACTTAATTAATTAGATCTCGGTTGTATATAGAAATTTTTAAGACAGCTGATTCGACTACGTTAGCAAAAATGTTTTCAGATCATGCAGATTTTTTGAACAATTCATGTCATTTGAAAAGTTAATAATGACTTAACCATAGACCATAGTTAAAAGTTAAAACTGCACTGAGAAGATTCGAATGTTAACATATTTTGGAGTATTAGAAACTTGATAAAAATTTATATTTAAAAATTGGTTTTGGATGGAAAATTTGTATTGGCATCTCTGATCTCTCCCGGCCCCTGTTATAAGAAAACAAAATGAATTAGTAGTCGTATAATGGCTATTTAGCATCTTTGAACAACTTCTAAAAACTGTGGATTTCAATTTATGTGGCGGCAGGTTGCAAAAACCTTGAACCTTCCTCACAGTCTTCGTTTCCCAAAATATCAAACTCGTATAAAGCTAGCTAACTAAAAATAATGTAAAAATTGTAGAAAGCTAGTAATTGAGAGATGCATTTACTTTCAAATATAAATCGTTTTTCCCCTACAGATCTGTCAAACAAATTTATGAATAAAACAGACGAAACATTCCGTAACACACGGACACGGACCAACATTAACCTTCATATTATTCAATTCGTAAAATTTTATGTCCTTTCTGATATTTGCACAAGAGTGTCCAAGAATTTAAAATTCATAACTTCCGATATTTTTGTATAGACTGGCAGTGTTAAATTCATAACCTAATTTTATTTATCTTTCATCTTTGTGTTCAACTCCCAGCCCAAAATAATTGTTCATTGTTTTCTCGATAATTTTTGGTGACGTACTTACCCAAAAAAGCCAAGGATTACAGTTAATATACTACTGTAACTCACTAGTTTTTGCAATTTCGTGACATGTAACTATTTAAGACTGACAGACAACGTTAGTCTGTAAAAAGTTCTTCACATAACTGCAAATCCACAGAAAAAGAAAAGAAAAATTGTGATCTTTTTGGTGCATTAAATACGATAAAATTACAATTAATATAGTAATCGTACTTCTATTTGAAACGGTAACTTTAAAGAAAAAAAATTCACAGCTGCAGATAGAGGAAAGCCATAAATGTAAATACCTCGTCAGAATTGACCAAACTAACCTCTTTGCTTTGACTTTATCAATGTCATGTCGTATTTGCCACCGCGTTTGACTAATGAACATTTCTCCTCCACATATCTATACGTACACACAGACATACACATGTACATATGTCTACATTTCATTGACCAACACCCTTCCTGTATCTATATAATAATACTTTATAAGATATATTTATAAATACATTGCTCTCTTCCTCTACCTTCCTCTTCTTATCTTCTTCACTTTGATTAGAAACAATCACACAAACCAGAGAAGTTAAAACAAAACAAATTATCTTCTTCACAGAAATAAAAGACTACAGAAAATGGGGAAGCACTTGTTCCGACCATCATCTCCGACGGAGAAACAACCAGCTCACCAGTCGCTCGCCGAAGCAGCTGTCCAGGAGTGTATGAGCGGCATCACCACCGTCATATCCAAATGGACTTCTTCTTCCGACGAATTCCTCTTCTCCACCAACAGTCGCCGTGAGGCGGAGGAGTTTGCGAGCGCCGTTAAGCATCTGCAGAGCACCATGCACCGTTTGGTTTCCGTTAATCCTTCCTCCGAGAAGCTGATCTACGCGCAGAATCTGATGCAATCGGCGATGAAGCTTCTCGAATCGGAGTTTGAACGCGTCCTGAAAGAGAATCGGGAGTATCTGGATCCGGAATCCGTCTCCGTACGGTCCTGCAGATCTTCCAGATTCAGCAATTCGACCACCACCAGCATCTCCGACTCCGAAGACGAGAGCACTTACGAGGAGAACCCCGACGATCACAGATTCTCAGGCGGAGATTCCGACGCCATGGATGACCTGAAAATGATCGCGGATTGTATGATCTCCACGGGATACGCCAAGGAATGCGTTAGCGTTTACAGAACCGTGCGGAGATCGATCGTCGACGAGACGCTGCATAATCTGGCGGTGGAGCGATTCACTCTCCACCAGATTCAGAAGATGGATTGGGAGATTCTCGAATCGAAGATCAGATCGTGGTTACGAGCTGTGAAATTGGCGGTTAGGTCTCTGTTCTTCGGCGAGAGGATTCTCGCTGACCATGTCTTCTCCTCCTCCACTAACATAGTCGAATCCTCTTTCACCGATATCACGCAAGACGGAGCTTTAACCCTTTTCGCTTTCCCGGAATATGCGGCGAAGATCAAGAAATTATCACCGGAGAAAATGTTCCGGTACCTGGATATGTACGAAGCTCTTGCGAATCTCTACGTGGAGGTCGAATCGATTTTCTACTTCGACTCAGCAGCCGCCGTTAGGTCTCAGCTGATCAACTCTCTAGCCAGACTCGGCGACGCCGCAAGGTCGATGATGACGGATTTCGAATTGGCGATTCAGAAAGAAACGTCCAAAACGCCGGTTACCGGCGGCGGCGTTCATCCGCTAACTCGTTACGTCATGAATTACCTCTCCTTCCTCACCGATTACAACGAATCGATCGGCGCAATCTTCGAAAACTGGAAGCTAAGCGAGTCGTCTCCCTTGCCCTTGCCGGAATCCTTATCTGGCGAGGCTCATCCGGAGGACTTGTACTCATCTCCGGTGTCCGTACGAATCGCCTGGGTGATTCTCCTCACGCTCTGCAAAATCGACGGCAAAGCTCAGCCGTACAAAGACGTCGCTCTGTCTTACCTCTTTCTCGCCAACAATCTCCAATACGTCGTCGTTAAAGTCGGGACGTCGAACCTGAGGCTCCTTCTCGGCGACGATTGGGTGGTGAGGCACGAGGCGAAGGTGAAGCAGTACGCAGATAAGTTCGAGAAGCTCGCATGGGGGAAAGTGCTGACGTCATTACCGGGGCATCCGGCGGAGGAAATGTCGCCGGAGGAGGCTACAGAGATATACACCAGATTCAACGAAGAGTTCGAGGCGTCGTACCGGAGACAGATATCGTGGGTCATACCCGACCCGAAACTTAGGGATGAGATCAAAATCTCGCTGAGTCGGAAACTCGTGCGGGTTTGCACCGAGTTTTACGAGAGAAACCGAGACACCGAGTTCTACAAGGTAAATGTTGCCAGATATACCCCTGAAGACATTGGAAATTACCTCTCGGATCTTTACTTCGGAAGCAGAGGCTCCGGGAGTGTTTCGGCAAAAGGATCCGGATCCGGAACCGGTTCGTCGACTACGGGTAAATCTCGGGGAGGACGTAGCCATTAAATGAGAATCTCGTGATATTTTGCTTAATATTTTAGCGATATTTTTTTATTTTGTGGTGTGCGGTTAAATTGCTTACAGTGATTTATCGGATCTCTATATTTTTCAGTTACGTGTACATATATCATATGTTAAATTATTAATTGAATTGTTCTTTTTCTGATTACAATCATTCGATTTTGTTTTTGGAACTTTGTTAATATCAAAACGACAAAAGAAAACACAATTATTATTTCCGTCGCTTGAAGATTTAGTTAGCATATAAAGACATAAACTTCAATAGTAGACAATTCATAAGTAGCTATCAGCCAAGTTGGATCTATGTAATGAGTCTTTTGACTAAATGTGATTTTGGTGGTTTGTTACTCCAAGTTGGTACGAGTCCACACAATTAAGATACATTAAAAATTAGGAAAGATTGCTTAATGCTTACCGGAAAAATAGGAAGCATGCGTTATAGTAATAAATTTCTTACAAACAGAAAGGTTGACAACGATCGCGAATCTTATGACTTATCATGTACACTCATTAATGCTTTATTAAGCGACTGATACGCATTCTACTTTATAAGCGAACGTACAAAAACTTATCTAATCTCAGCAAGAGGCCCACGGAATATTTTTGGGTCCTTTAGGCTCAGTAATTATTAACCCAACTTTATGATATCTTAAGCCATAATCGTTTCTCTTTGTTTATGAGAGATCATCAAACTGAAATTGCAAGAGAGTTCTAACATCCGTGATTGGTTTATGGAAAGTGGAAACAGGGCCGTCCCGTGGCTAAGGCTGGTAAAGCACCAGCTTTAGGCGCCAAATTATAGGCAATAATTAGGGGCGCCAAGAACAAGTAGATCCCTTAGGTATAGTGGTTTAAGTGATGTTCATATCTTCTCGGGTGCTGGGTTCGAAAGTCCTTGGAGTCATTTTTTTCTCCCTTTTGATATATTTGTTTTTTGATTGGTTTTTGCCTTCTGATAATCATTAAAATTTCTGATTGATCTTATTTCCTTTTTGATACTCTTAAGTTCCTTTATTATTAAATGTTAAAATAATAAGTGATTCAATTTAAAACAAAGAAAACATATTGTTGTTAAGGGCAAAAAAATTATGCTCGCTTTAGGCGTCGTATACGTTCGGGCCGGCACTGAGTGGAAACATTCGTTTATTCATTATATTGAGGTCTTACTACAATCATAATTTTAGAAAAAGCGACAATTACACAAACAAAACAAACCAAGACACCACAAACTTAAGCACATACGCTTTTTATTTTCACACACCAAACTTCATCTTCATCGACAATATAATGGCTTAGCCGGAGATATCAATAGACTTGACTTCAGGCTTCTTCTCTGGCGCTTTTGGTACCATAACCGTTAGCACACCGTTCTCCATTGTTGCCTTCACTTCTTCCATCTTCGCATTCTCAGGCAACTTAAACCTCCTCATAAATTTCCCACTAGCTCTCTCCACACGGTGCCACTTGTCGTCTTTCTCTTCGCTCTCCTTGCTCCTCTCTCCGCTGATCTGGAGTATGTTCTTGTCTTCAACCTCAACCTTCACTTCTTCCTTCTTCAGCCCCGGCAAATCCGCTTTGAACACGTGTGCCTCCGGCGTCTCCTTCCAGTCCACTATTGCGTTTGTAAACGCTGCCACGTCACGAGCGGTTGAAGCGGATGCGTTTGCCAACGCCGAAGAAGGCGTGAAGAATCCTTCCAATGGATCCCATGCGTCAAGTGAGAACGGATCAAAAACGTTCGATCGTCGTCCTCCAAAAATGCTTGGAATTAGAGACATCGTTGCTTTTTTTGTCAAGTGAGTTAATTTGCTTCTTAGTTTTCTTGCTGCTGTTTTGATCTGATTTTATCGGTCACAAGAGCTCCATATATATAAGGAAGTAGTGGGTAAGGGAGAGAACGTTCTTCTAGTTTCTTGAATAGAAAAAGTGTGCCTTTTTTCTAAAACCTTCGTTTGTTGTCTAGAGAGTCTTTAGACTTTATTGAATACAGGTGCAGTGACCAGATTTTTCTTGGCATTTCAGGAAGTTTCGGTTGTTGAAACAAGACGACGTGCATTCCTCAATTAACACATAAACGACGTGCCGTTTTTGTTGCATGTAATACAGTAGTTTGTGGAGTATTCCTTAATAAAGGCCCATTTTGATGATACAGTAGTTTGTGGAGATTTTGTTGATTGCAACATATTATGATTGGCATGCAAATACAATCACTATATGACCCAATTAATGGGACCTAATTTCAAACTATTACCCATTCTTGTCATGCTTGAACCAGTAGTGACGATCATTTATCATTGGACACATAAAAAAGATTAAGAACAAAAAACTGTAGTGTTACCTTTTATGGGGACTGGGAATTTGATGTTAAAAATTGAAAATGTGAGATGGTTTGGTTTCTAAACAATGGAGCTTGCACGAAATAAAGAGTAAAAAACAAGAACAAAAACAAAAACAAAAAAGCTTTACACTGTAAAGATGCTACTAATTGAACAAACCTACATGTAGTCAATGCTGCAGCAAGCTTGGTCTCTTTTCCATGTGCTCGTACTGGAGAACAAAATGTTCCTGCAAGAATCATCCCAAAACATACAGTAAATAAATACTCTGCAAATGCACTTGTATCAAGGTGTACATCTTCCTGCAATTATCGTTGGTTTTTTTTACCTTTCTGACTGTTTTGAACAAGTTTGGATCAAGGCAGTCATATGTTCCTTTTTCACAAGTAGCTGTCCTGCCCAAAGGTTCCCCAACTCTGAAGAACCATAATCTGAGCTCCTTGTGGTAAAACCAACCTCTTTCGTAGCTGCAAGATATCAACCAAACTCAAAAGCCTCAGCACAAGAGAGCACAGAGTAAACGAATAATCAAAGACTATGGCTCAGAAAAAGAAAGAGAACATACAGTTCATCTGCTGCGTATAGCTGTGCTTCGTCTTTTGGCATACTGGAAAAACAACAAGAGGAAACTGTTATATTGGAAAAAGAGATTATTCATGAGTTGGCAAATGAGTCTCATCTCTTAACATACCTGTAAAATGTGTAGAACAATAACTCGAAGGAGAACCTTTTGAAACTTGCTCGCTGCACCCAACGGAAACAATAACACATTTGTTAACATAACCGAGAAAAGGAGTGAAGGAATACATTTGTTGGTGCTACTCGCAAGACCAGATGAAAACTTACAGTTAGAGGAGGAGGTGGTGTGGCAGAGTAACAATTTGGTACTGTGAAGTCGACCTCTGTCTTTGCTGGTTCATTGGTCCAAGGGGAAGCAAATGTCTTGTAGAGATTTCCAGTTGAATTCAAATCTAATCCTAGCGTCGTTAAGTCGATGCCAAGAGCAAGAGAGGTCAATTCAGGGTTGCTCCTGTTTAATACGTCTAACAAGCCAAGCAAGCAAAAAGGATCTGCTTCCGACTGTGACGATTTCAGCTCAGAATCTCTAAATTGGTTCATCGATGACATTTGTTGCACAGGAAACTGGGATTGATTTGGATGTTGTTGATACTGCTGGATAATCTGGTCATAACCGTTACTGGAAACTGTATTGGGGGAGCTTAGAGGTCTCAAGCCAAGACCCTGTAGCCCACCAGCCTGGTAACAAAGATAAGAATCAATGATAATTATATATATGAGATATGCAAATAGAGGAAAGTCCTGGCTTGAGTCCAGATAGGGATACGAGAGACTGCCACTCACAGATGAAGTATGTTGTGGCTGTTGTTGTGAACGATGTGACGGATATGTTCCCCCCAAGTTGAAACCACCAGATCTACCCATCTGCAAGTTTGCAATATCCAAACGTAAATTACCCATCAATAGAAGAAAATGGCAGAAAAACATTTTCTTAATCTCAGAACAGTCTAAAGCTTACAGAAAAGTTTTGAGAGTGCATCATTGACATAGCACTGTCGTGGAGTTGATCTTTCTGATGCAAATCCATCGGATAATCAGAATTACCACCTGCAAAAAATCTACTACGCTTGTGAATGATCCAGCAGGTTTAGCTTATAGCATTTAGAAACACATGTGGGAACATCTTATAATCTTTATGAATGCAATAAAATATAATATTAAGGCAATTAAGAAGATTATGAACATCTGAAAACGCAATTTCATGAGATTTTGGAGAAAGCATAAGGGGAAACATTTCATAATAGGTGGCACTAGAGAACATATTCTTCACTCTGAGACATCATATGCAAAAACCAATTTCATGCACAATACAATACAAATTTATAGACAATGAAGGACCAGCACCTTTATATCCAGGTAGGGCAGGAAAGTCTTCATTTTGGATGCTGAACTCTTGGTTTTGTTGGACAATTGGGACTCCTAAACCTTGCTTCCTCAAAGAGCCTAGATACACCACCACAAGAGTATGAGGGAACAAGAGATGAAATGGAAATGTTTTTCTAAAAACTACTTTTACATTAAGTATATGAATTTCAAAAGATCTTAGGATAAATTGAGTACCCAGTTGTCCTTGAGTGCCACCAGCAGAACCAGGACGGCTCGTCAGTTGGGGAAAGTCTTGGTTGATGTCAAAAAGAGAGCTGTCGTTTGAGTGATCACTGAGCATCATATTGTGGTTTTGCGAAAGTGGGCCGCCACCAGCATGATAGGAGTTCCCCAACATAGACATGACCTGAGATCCTGTACCATACAACAATCAGATTTTTTACTTTCACATCCACATACAGCAGCTGCTAGGTTATTGCATATTTACGCAAATAAGATTGTCAAGTATAAAGTAAACAAGCTCATCTTACAAGCTCCATACAATTCCAGAGTATGTGAGCTGAAAACAAAGTCTGCTTTCTCTACCTTTTATCGTACTTAGACGAGTCTGGATAAGTACAGACTACAACATTCAATTACTGTCTTTACTTAATTCTAACAGCATTTCTTAGTTACTATTGAAAATACCCATAATCATAAAAGTCAAAAGGTGTCTTCCATGGAGCACAATTTATATTTTGGTTTGTGACAATGATATAGCAACAAGATAAAGAAGGCTCACTTGTATCGACTTATGTGCAAAAGAACCTCAAATACAGAAAATGGAAGGAACTAGATAAATCATGTATACCTTGAGGAAGTACTCCACCCAGCATTCGGTTCTGTCCCTGAACATTTAATCCTGATCCGCTATTAGCTCCCAAATTTAGTCTTGAAGAAAGACCAGGAATAGACAATCCACCAGAGCTAATATTCCTCCCCAAGTTTCCTCCACCAACCATGTTTCCCATTGAATTTGTTATTCGAGGACCAGCATTTCCTAACAGTTGGGATATTCCCATCCCTGGAACACTATTCCGATTGCTGAGTCCGGCGGATGTGGAGAGAATTCCCGGAATAGAACCACCAACTCCATTTGCGTTGCTACTATACCCGGGGTTGCCAACAACGTTAAGACCTCCTCTATTTGGGATTCCGGAATGCCCATGGGAACTACCATGAGACAACTACAAAACGAATCATACTATGATATTAGACACATTACACATAATAAGAACAAGAGCACTTGTTTTTAAAAAAAAATCAAAGCACATGCACCTGAGAGAGAGCAACAGGTAGATTATTTGAAGCAAATCTTCCACTGGAAAAACTCCCGTTAGGTTGTTGAACCCCAGGAGATGGTATACTATTCATACTTGAGTTTCTTGATGTAAGTGTACCTTGCATGTTCCCGACATTATAACTCCCATGAATATTATGAAGTCCTTGGAGATTTCCTGCATAACATTAAAGCTGCATAAGCTCAGAACGGAGCAGACAATACAAGGGTGTCAAGACGAACTATCACACCCACCAGTATGATGGAAAGCGGGAGAAGGTGCACCAGATTGTCCAGAATACGAAGCGGCAAAAGATCTGCCTGACCCGTCTGTTAGATTCGAAGCTGAGCCGTTGAGAGATGACTGGAAAGGCAAAAACACAAGAGTCAAAAGACATGGCACGCATAACTAAGCAAAAGATACTGACATTTCTTTACAGAAAAATGGTAAGGTCCACAGATTATATAAATGATTGGAGGAAAGAAGGTTACTATACATGAAGGTTTGACATTGCACGAACTGACAATCACGTGAGACAAAATATCATTCGGCGACAAGCCGCGAACCGCCTATGATCTGAGACGGAATATAAATAGCATTTGAATGAATCACAAAGCTGATGAAAAACAAACCAAAATACACTGATACAGGAAACGATACTTAGCATAAATCTTAATAAAAAAGGGTGCGGCATCAGAGGAATTTACTGTATAACGACATAGAAAGACTGAAATTATCGTTCTCTGAAAGATTATACTAGTAAAACTTCATCCAGAAAGAAGAAAATTGGCTCCTGAATGAATAAAGATTCGTATAGATAAATCCACGGCGAAATAATTAATCAGGAAGCATGAAATGAACTTCTTCCAGGAAATCTGAAGTCTGGGAAAGGATTCAGAACAATACACAAATGGAAAACTATTAAAATCACGAGGATCCAAAAACAAAATCAATCAACTCCACTGTTGAAATCAAAAAGCGAATCAGGTAAAACCAGTGTAAACACCAGACTCTGAATTCAGCTAACATCGATGTAATTTCAATACTAAAATAACAGAATTGAACTCCGAGAACCCTAGAATCGCGAGTTTTCTCTGTTCACACTTACAGTAAGGGTGCGTACGGAGGAGGGAAGGGAAGAGAGAAGCACTAGCCAAATTCGTAAACCCTGGAAGTAAATCGAGAGAGGGAAACGAATCCGAAGGGGGACGATGAAGATTTTCTGGGGTTTCCTGGGGGATTGATTTGATTGGGGAAAAGCGGAGATTTTATCTTTTTTTTTTTTTATCAGAAGATTGGTGCCCTAAATCGAAAACGGATATAGGAACGAGAAGGAGCAAGATTTAGAAAATGGGATCGAAAAAAAATATTTTATAAAATAAAAGGAAATAAAGTTAATATATTTTTTGGCAGAATGATTGGTGATGGAGGGAAGGGAACTTTCAGAAGGGCATAATGGGCCCCACGAAACCTTCTAAATCAGTAAGAGTGTCTTTGATGTTTTCTCGTATGGATTGGTATATGCTTAAAGCCTACTAAATGCGAATTAATGTTGGGCCCAATCGAAAAGGCCGTTATACACACGCACACTATTACACAACACAATAATGTTGATGCCAAGTGTATGGATTCGTATGGATTCGTATGGATTCGTATCCAGTGAATGTGCAAGTTTTTTTGGTTTCTTCCCAAGTTTTATACTTTTCAGTTGCATGATTAACAATATTACATAACACAATAATGTTGATGCCAAGTGTGCTAAAACAAATTGAAGTATGTAAATCTGCGGTAACTTATCCAAATTCGATCGACAAGATGTATGCTCTCCATTTTGCGAAGGTTTAAATTAGGGGAAATAATAAATTAATTAATGCAGTACTAAGGAATTTAATTTATTAAGGCTAAGGTATGGCATATCCAAATTCCAAAGTCATTAAACAAAAAATAATTGTCAAATCTATTTAGTAGACAAGCCAACTATATATGAAAGAGACGTTAACTATTATAGAATGATGAAAATTATGTCCACTAATGCAATTTACTCAGATCATATGACAGAAGCTTGTGAAAGTTTGCAAAAGAGACGAAGAAATAACTTTTGTTTCTTTTTAGCTAGGGACTATTGTCACTTGTCACTTAGACGTAATTGAATCATTTCGCTGTAAGTGTAACATTATTTATGTGAAACTCTTAGACTTATCGCTCAAACGAATCATATAGCGTCAAACACTTGCGTTTAGGTATGTTTTGTCGTATTTATCGACATAAAGTGACTGTGTTTTTCAGCTTGGGATTCTAGAGCGCATGGTTACATGAAAACGTAACTGTTTAACTCCTCGATGACCATGTAACTTATATCGCTTCGTTTCCGTCGGTGGTCTGTTGATTGGACGGTGGCTGGCTGTAACGTGGGTTCTTCTGGTGACGACCGGCGACTCACCGATCTGAGTTGGTTTCCGATGTGGCTCCATCAACTTCTTCCGGTTTGTTTTATTTTCAGGTGTTTGTGCGACAATTCTTAGAGTGGGTGAAATTTGATAGGAGCGGTTCCATCAGCTCTGGTTGTGTTTCTGGTGATGAATCGAGGCGGCGGTTTTTGCTATGACGTCTATGCTGCTTCTGAGGGAGATGTGTCTTGTAGTTTTCGAGCTCAAGATTGTGGTCGGAGGCGGTATCTCTGACTGCCCATAGAAGCTTCTGTACCGCTGGAAGTAGCGGAGAGTGTTCTGGTGGTTCCGTTTTTGTGTTAGTCTTCGGAGAAGCTGTAGGCACTGATGCCATGAAGGTTTTGAGGACTGGCCTTAAGTGGTGGTGGTTGCTCGTGGCAACAACGATGAAGACTCTAGTTCTTTTGGAACTATGGCAGTAGTACAAATTTCCGAGCTTGTGCTTGGAATCGGTGTTTCTTCATTGGAGATCTTCTGGGTAAGTCTCGGTGTGTGCTTATCTTGTCGTTTTAATTCGCTATTTGTTTGATGTTGTATCTTCGCCATTGCATTGTAGTTTTTGGTCATTCCTTTTTCTTTGTTATCCTTGTAACTTCTGTCTCAAACTTAAAATGGTATAAAATTTAACATTTTACCAAAAAAAAAAAAAACTTATATTCTTAGGAGCGTTTAGCAAACTAAACATTAAAGTTCTTAGAAAAAAATCAGTCAGCCATTTCAAGTAGAATAACAAATTTGTAATATGGTTGTTTCCACTTTCCAGTGTCGGAGCTAAAGGTGCGTCTTATTTCGTCGGTACAATAGGTCCACCACAGGTGTCTTTTTAGATTGATATTTAAGAATCATATCACAAAATCCCAACTTGCAAGGAAAATGTAGTGTGATCACATCATGGCTATTTTGATCAAACATAGTGAGATCTTTTAATTCCTTTCAAATAAACTAATGCTATACGTCGTTTTCTATGTAGATGAATAGTGGGGGTGGTTAATGTCCTCATTATTTATTTATTTCAATCGGAAAGTTAATGTCATATTCTAGTTTATTGATTGAAATCCATATTTATCTCTGTGAACATATGGTGATTGAGGTGCCATGTTTGCTATTTAATAGCTCAATTGTTTTGTACCAAAAGACTTGAATTTCTTCCAACAGAACAAACATGGAGTACTAAAGCTAAAAACCAAAACAAAGAACGTGCTTTCTTCTTAAATACGGTCAGAACTCGGAAGTTTGGTATGTATATATTCTTGAGAAAAATTCACAAAACCCAATCTGTCCTTCGTTCAATCATCCGCTACCTTGACTTCGATTAAGAAAAAAACAGAACACGTGTATCTACGAACTTAGGAGTGACGACGATGCGGATGTAAAATGATACTATGATAAATAAATAAGAGAAATAAATATGTTGTCGAGAAAAAGTTACAGTATCTTATTGTTATTTCTTGACACATTCAAAGCGGTAACATACCACTTACGTTTCTGCAACTGTACTTCTGGTAAAATCTTTTTACGGCAAAATTTCGTCTTCTTCCCAACTTTGTTAGCCATCAGAAAAATCAGTCTGACAAATTCAATTCAATTCGTTCGTCTTTTTTCTACACAACTTCAATTCCTTCGTATCTACACAACTACCTATGTTAAATTAATATTTTCTTAATACATATACAGTTCATGCTTGCAGAATTCACAAAAAAGAAATCCATCTCTTTTTACCAATCTGATCTCAACTGGAACTGAGCTAAGCTCCAAACACTGGAGAGATCAATCCATCAGCTGATTAATCCATCGACTTTAACCTTTGATGGAACAATTACTTTTCCTGGATTTCTCGTCTTAAAGGTAAATATTGTTTCTTTGCTGCTTAATTTTATCAGCACCGTTACGAAAAAATTCCATCACTGTTAGAAAGTTGTCACCTTTTCCTGAAAAAACCCCTAAACTTCCTCATGTCGTTTCCCTTGAATCTAGCTGATAAATTCTCTCTCTGTTCCAGCGGAATTGTTTACAAAATTTCAGGCTTTGTGAAGATGGGTGGTGAAAAGTTTCGATTTTTGTTTTGGGTTTCATCGATTTCTTCCTTAATCTGTCTCTGCTATGGCTACGTCCCTGTGAACAATTACCTCATCAACTGTGGATCACCCACCAATCTCACCGAAACCGGCCGAGTGTTCATCTCCGACAAGCTTGCCTCAAACCACCTTACCTCTCCCAACGAAATCCTCGCCGCCGCGAGCAACCGCAATTCCGTTCCAGACATCTACCAGACGGCCAGAATCTTCACCGGAATCTCAAAGTACACTTTCTCCGTCGCTCGAGGCCGACACTGGATCCGTCTCCATTTCAGTCCTTTCCAATACCAAAACTTCCAAATGACGTCAGCCAAATTCTCAGTCTCTTCACAGACACACGTCCTCTTGAGCGATTTCACAGCAAAATCAAAACTTATGAAGGAATACTCTCTGAATCTAACCACGGATCGTCTCGAGCTCACTTTCACTCCTTCCGCTAATTCCTTCGCCTTTGTCAACGCCCTCGAGGTCGTCTCCGTCCCCGACACATTGATCAGTATTGATCCTTCCATTGCAGGCCGTCCAGGGACGTTTCAAGGCTTGTCACGGCAAGCTCTCGAGACGGTTTACAGAGTGAACATGGGCGGTCCGCGAGTGACGCCTAACAACGACACTCTCTCTCGGATCTGGGAGCCGGATTCGGAGTTTCTAATCGAGAAGAATCTCGTCAAGATCGTGTCAAAGATCTCGAGTGTTGTTTACGTTCCTGGTTACGCTACGGAGGAGACAGCTCCGAGAAATGTCTATGGGACTTGCTCGGAGATCAATTCCGGTGACAATCCGACTAGCAGTTTCAACGCGACGTGGGATTTCGAGGTTGAGGCCGGGTTTAAGTACTTCCTCCGGTTTCATTTCTGCGATATTGTGAGCAGAGCGTTGAACGAGCTCTACTTCAATCTCTACGTTGACTCGATGATGGTTGTTCAAGATCTTGATTTAAGCAGTTACTTGTCCAACACTCTGTCCGGCGCCTACTTTATGGACTACGTGACGGAGTCGGCGAAAGTTAGCAACAGAATCCGTGTGAGCATCGGTCCATCAGTCACTGTTCGCACGACGTACCCTAAAGCGATCTTGAACGGGTTAGAGATCATGAAGATGAACAACTCTAAAAGCCAGCTCAGCACCGGAACTTTCTTGTCAGGTGCTTCAAGCTCAACCAGGAAGAAGAATGTTGGTATGATCGTTGGTGTAACAGTTGGTTGTTTGATTGCTTTAGTTGCTTTTGGAGGTTTCTTGATTCTGTTCAAGAAACGAGGGAAAGGCAAAGATGGTCATCACTCAAAGAGTTGGATTCCTTTGTCTACTACTAATGGAACAACAACTCCAGACTCAAATGTAACAACAACTTCAAATTCCAGTTACCGGATTCCTTTAGCAGCGATTAAAGAGGCGACGAACAGCTTTGACGAGAGCCGTGTGATCGGAGTAGGAGGATTTGGTAAAGTGTACAAAGGAGCGCTTCAAGATGGGACTAAAGTAGCTGTTAAGAGAGGTAACCCTAAGTCACAGCAGGGACTTGCAGAGTTTAGAACAGAGATCGAGATGCTGTCTCAGTTCCGTCATCGTCATTTGGTTTCTCTGATCGGTTACTGCGACGAGAGCAGCGAGATGATTCTTGTTTACGAGTACATGGAGAACGGGACGTTGAAGAGTCATCTCTACGGCTCTAATCTCCCTACCTTGAGCTGGAAGCAACGTCTTGAGATATGTATTGGATCAGCTAGAGGGTTGCATTACCTCCACACCGGTGACTCGAAGCCTGTGATCCACAGAGATGTTAAGTCGGCTAACATATTGCTTGACGAGAAGCTTATGGCTAAAGTTGCAGACTTTGGACTGTCCAAGACCGGACCTGACCTTGACCAGACTCATGTGAGCACTGCGGTGAAAGGAAGCTTCGGTTATCTCGATCCGGAGTACTTTAGAAGACAGCAGCTCACAGAGAAATCTGACGTTTACTCGTTCGGAGTCGTGATGTTCGAGGTTCTATGCGCGAGACCTGTTATAGACCCGACGCTTCCTAGAGAGATGGTGAATCTTGCGGAGTGGGCGATGAAATGGCAGAAGAAGGGACAGCTTGAAGAGGTGATTGATCAGTCTTTGAAGGGGAAGATTGTGGCGGATTCGCTCAGGAAGTTTGGTGAGACGGTGGAGAAGTGTTTGGCTGATTATGGAGTCGATAGGCCGTCGATGGGAGACGTGTTGTGGAATCTTGAGTATGCTTTGCAGCTGCAAGAGCCTGTTGTTGTTGATGGAGATGATGATGATGATGATAACAGTACGAACATGATCGGTGAGTTGCCTTTACGGTTTAATGATTATAATAAGAATCATGGAGGAGGAGAGACGAGCGTTAACGTTTCTGGAGATGGGAAGGGACGGTTTGAAGAAGAGGATTCGAGTGTTGGTGATGATGTTTCAGGTGTTTCCATGAGTCAAGTTTTCTCGCAGCTGGTCAAATCTGAGGGACGGTGAGAGATGAACTAATTGGAATCAGAATTTAGAATCTTTTGTTATGCTCTAGCTTTTCTTTTTGTACATTATTAACTATTAGACTGGGATTTTCATTCAATAACCAATCAGTGAAGCTACAGAATCAAAAACTCGAAAAAGCTTCATGAGTCTCAAACTTGCTTCAAAGTTCATGTTTTCATCCAAACCAGATACGTACCGGTTTGTTTCGGTTTAATTTTGTTTTCATCAGCTTGTTACTTCTTAATCAATATCGGTTTGTGTCTTAGAAGGGTATTGATCCGGTTTAATTCCATATGCGTACCAATCTGTGATGCTTAAGTTCTTTAATCCTTCTGCAAACCGCCGCCGCCTCCCAAATATTACCGGTCATAAGCTACAACCACCGTCAAATTACTGAAGAATTGTTCGCAGAGATGATTTCACAAGCTCAGTTTCATGTTATTTCTTAAATGTAGAGACAAAATTGTAGATGTTTCCACATTTTACTGGCAAACTCATTGTACTCGGCACAAATTCGCGATTCTTAAGTTAAGGAGCAATCTCAAATTAGGTCAGATAGGAAATAATTGGGATCAGAGAAGGGCTCAGTAGACAACGATGATACTAGAAATAAGATTTGATTAGATTCAATCGAAGATTTCATTGACATTGCACCACTAATCCAGAAGATAAGGTGTAATTACATATCACTAGAACGCTACTAAGAAACACAAAAGCAGTACCGAAACTGAATTCAAACGCAAACGCTGAGTAGAATATGATTTTGATTAGAAATTTCGAAGATTAAAAACGCCTACATAAGGAAGCCCAGAAGAACAAACGCGAATCTGAGAAGCAACCATCAACCGCCGAATCCGTAGAGAGTCCTTCCTTGCCTCTTGAGCGCGTAAACGACGTCCATGGCGGTCACCGTCTTCCTCCTGGCGTGCTCGGTGTAGGTGACGGCGTCACGGATAACGTTCTCCAAAAAGATCTTGAGGACACCACGGGTCTCTTCGTAGATGAGGCCACTGATACGCTTGACTCCACCTCTACGAGCCAACCTCCGAATCGCCGGCTTGGTGATTCCCTGGATGTTGTCTCTCAGAACCTTCCTGTGACGCTTGGCTCCTCCTTTGCCCAAACCTTTACCTCCCTTTCCACGGCCTGACATTTTTCCGGTGAATCTAGGATTTTCGCGAGAGAATTTTGATAGTGAAGAATCTCTGAATTAGAGTTGTATTTGGTATGAGACGAGATGTGAAATTGGTTTTATATATATAGAGAAGGCGGAGCCTTTTAATTTGAGCAATCATATCGCATGATAGATCTAACGGCTGAGATATCGATCCGCGTAAACACCATAAAGAAGTATTGACCGTCGATGTGTTCTAATCAACGGTGCATAACAGTGATCCGCGTGGTGCCAGTATTAGCCAATAAGAATCATTTCTTGTTTACATGCGGCGCCACGTATAATTTCACTGAAGCGCCAATTTTTTGGCGCTGGCGCAATTTTAGAAATTTTTCATATGCGTTTTAAACTTTTAATACATGATTTTTGAAATTGTATAGTTTGACCTAACCCATACAAACGAAGCAAAATTGACAGACTTATTTAGGCGCGAACATAAAAAAAGATGAAAATATTATTACACAAAACCGATTATGGTTTACATCGAGGTTTTTTTATGATAATTGAAAATGGGATCCCAACATTTCATTTCCCTTTTGAAAAACAATACATTCCACAAGAACATACTTCAGTCGACACAGTAACTATTTTACTTTTGTACATAAAGGTTTTACAACCACAATAAAATGAAAATACGTACCGGAACTCAAATTACAAACAGCGGAGCGGACACATCACAGGTAACAAAGCCACAAGATCGTTGAGTGGTTACTTGCAGAACAAACTATCTTGCTCTAGGAATCATCCCACTATCAAAGATCATGCTCACTTCAGGGGAATTCAGTGAATCCATGCCTTGGCTCATATTTCTCTTCGAGTTTTCAGAAACAAGACACTCTTTTAGCTCGATAACAACATGAGACATGGTTGGTCGTTTGGCCGAAGTTGGATCCGCGCACGCCATTGCCAGCTCTAGAGCTCTCCAAGCAGAGCGGGAATCATAGTCTCCGTTAAGCTTTGGATCCATGATCTTCGCAATATCTCCTCCGTTAAGCTCAGACCCAACCCAATGTGTTATGTGAGACTTTCTACGGTTTCGATCAATGACTAGTTGGTTTGTGATAATTTCCAATAGCACAATGCCGAAACTGTACACATCGCTTTTCTCACCCAACCTGCTTGTTTGGTAATACCTACAAGGCAAGACCATGGATGTATATATACTCTTCAAGCATTGGACAAGAGAATCAAAAGTTTGAGTATCAATACTTACTCAGGATCAAGATAACCAGGAGTACCAGCAACCACCGTGGAGACATGAGTTTCACCGCCAATTGGGAAAGACCTAGAGAGCCCGAAATCAGCGAGTTTGGCCTTATAATGCTCGTCCAACAATATGTTTGTAGTTTTGACATCTCTGTGAACTATTGGTGGTGTGCATCCAATGTGTAAGTACTCCAAACCTAATGCAATATATTCGTTCATGTTAACTGATTATGTTCAATTAAGTTTTAGCTCTATGGTTAAACTTATAACAGACCTAGGGCAGCCTCCGCAGCTATTCTTAGCCGAGTACCCCAATTGACGATGGGTCTGCCTCCTTTCCCTGTATAATAAGATCATACATCTTGTCTGAGTTTTCAAGAAGAACAATTGTTTCATGAGCTATCATGATATATTACATGTAAATCCACTAGAAAAAGTTTTACCTGATAGATGCTGTCTTAAGTCTTCATTGGGTACAAACTCGTAGATGAGGGCTAAGTGGTCTCCTTCATCGCAATATCCAACAAGACTAACCAAATTCGTATGGTGAACTCTCAGAAGAAGATCAACCTAATGCACACTCATGCAAAGAGAAACAAGAGATCCACATATAAGTTTTGTTATGATTAAAAACAGATACTATTTAGTTGGAAAAGATTGTACTAAAATCTACCTCTGCCTTGAACTCTTTATAGCCTTGAGTTGATGACTGAGACAGTAGTTTAACAGCTACCTGTTGAGAGCCATTGACAGTACCGTGACAGACAACGCCAAATCCTCCTTCTCCTAGGACTCTTTCGAAGTTATTCGTCATTTTTATAACCTCAGAATAACTAAACCTTCTCTTTTTCATCTCGATTGATGGCTCCGGTGAACTACCATGTGTAACATTCGTTTTAGGCCTATTCGGTGGCGGGTGAACAGCTGGTAGATTTGAATATAGGAGTTAGCAAAAACCATATTCATGTGATTTATTGGTTTCTTAGTCTCTTTTGCAAGTTACCTTCAACAGTGGAGGGCTTTTTCTTTCTGAGAACAAGATAAAGCACCAATGCGGCTATGAGGATAGCTACAGAAGCAAGCGATGCGACAATTGGCACTAGAAAGCTCTTCTTAGTTGTCTTTGGGGGTGAACTAGAGGAAACAAGCCTTGGGTTTCCTTGGTGACTACAAGAAGACAGGACATCAAATTTTGTTAAAGGGTTGTGGTTAATAACAGAGAAATGTTCACAAAATATATGTGGGAAGATTAGATTCTTACAGTAGCTCGAGTCCTTTCCTCTCTAGAGACTGAGGAACTGTACCATTAAGATCGTTCCCGCTTAAGTTTCTGCGTACAAAAGAGCATTAATGACTCCGAGGTGGAATTATAAAAACTGTTCTTGAAAGAAACTTACATGAACAACAGTGATTTTATGTTGCCTAGAAACTCTGGCACCTCCCCGGTCAAGTTATTATTAGACAAGTCCCTAAAGTTTTCAGGAGAGAATAAAAAATGAATACACATCCGATTTCTTTGCATACGTATAAAAAATTTATACGCTTCAAATCCAACAATGGACACACTTACAGTTTTACTAGCTGCGTAAGGTTTTGAATGGCAGCTGCTATGTTTCCAGTTAAATTACTTGAAGCCAAGTTTCTGGATTTAAAGTGTTAATTAATGATCTTGAAGAGTGAGTGTGCGTGCATGATGATGTGTAAGTACTAATGACTTACAAAGAAGTGATTCTTGGTGGTGTGAAGATATCCGTGTTGCTGCAATCTAAAGCATCCCACCTAAGCTGTTGAGGGAAGCATGGATCGCCTTGCCAGTTGATTCTACTCAATCCATATGTGCTTTCAATGTTTCTCATAGCAGCCACTGATCACATTAACATTTTCAAATTGTTAGAAAAATCAACGTACAAAGGCTGAAACACACACTGGAAACATACCTTCGGTTTCATTTGTTTCAGACTGCGGAAACTGGATAACCGTGAAGACTTCTAAAGCGTTAAGCAGAGGTGGAAGTGTTGATCTGTTGGTTCTTATCAGCTGAAACTTACATTGCCCTCTAGCGCAGGTCCTTGGAGACACGCTCAACATAGTAGTTATCTCTAACTTATCAGGAATTACAGGCTCGGTTGACATAACTTCGTCATTCCACACCATGTTGAATTCCCTGGTTTCATTAGCCCGCAAGTCTTGGATCTCAGCAAAGTGTCTATACAAGTAATACTGGTCATCAGGCTTGTCTGAATTAGTCCAGTCAATCGTCAATGGCTCACTGGCATTAGTAGGTATGGCTGCAGTTGCTAGTGCGGCTTTTGGTGGGTTAAATTTGTTGTTATTTGACACATCGCTAGTGGTGGTTATTTGAGTCCACTCATCCTGAAAGTAGGCAAGCCATTGCCGATCATATATATCATTCTTGTACCTGATCACGGTGGAAATAATATTGTTTAGCAAAATAATCAGAATGGATATAACAATTATAAGATTACTCTGTATTCCATAAATAGTCTTACACTATGACAAAACCACCCATGTTTCTGTTAAAAATCAGACAGTAAAAAACAAGAGATGATTAATGCTGAGTAAGTTGAAGTGTTCTGTTACCTTATGTATTTTTCTGATTTGGTCAGATATACACGAAAGTAAAGACTGAGAGAACCAGAGTTTGTGATATAAGAATTATTTCCCATTGGCCTTATCTCCAAGGCTGAGATCATCGGTGTAGTCTCACCAGTCTTGACGAGACAGATCTGCAACGAGTTTGATGTTGGGATGTGTAAGATTTCTACCCTTGTCCCATTCACTTGTTCTTCCAAATCTATCGTGGCCCATGGATTAGGTCCAAGATACAGAGCAAACTTGGGTTTCACGTCACGGCCATCATAATTGCCATAGAAAAACCAAGCTCTGACCAGATGTTTTCTCCCCTTCTCGACGGGTAGATTGTAGCAATTCCGTCTTCCTTCTGGAAAAAATCTCACCGTAGCGTACGGCTTCATGAGCATACTCTCAAGATTTGATGCAACTGTACCAGTTTTGCCACTCTGGATGTATGTTGCGTCCGAATAGAACTGTAATTCAGTACCAGCGTCAGTGTAAGGAGACGGTTCATTCCCCGGTAGCCCACAATCCAAACTGATGAAACCTGTAAAAAGACATATACAAGAACGATTAAGAACCAAAATGGATAATAAGAAGGAGACGAATACGCATATATATAAATATATTTATGTATGTGTCATCTAAGAAGATGTGGATATATATACCTTGTTGGCTGGGACTCTGAGCTTGACCAATATGAATGATGGCCAAAGTTCCGATTAGCAGCAACATAAGTCGAAGAGACCTCTCCATCTTCGCTTACCTACCAACGAATAACCAAGAGAACATTGCCTAGGCTGAGGGATAAAAGGAGAGAATAAATAAGCCACTAAATTTGGAAACTTAAAAAAAAAAAAAACAAGAACAGACTTATTCAAGTCAATGAAAAGAATGAGTAAATATTTGTGTTTTCTAGTGCAACTTCACCATGGGAAGTAGAAGAAGGATAAGAGGATAACAATGTTCCATCATCAAAATTTGTGGAATCGGACATCGATCAGTTTATATTTTCTTGGTCAGACTCTTCGAAAGAACCTTTCAATAGCCACCGCATAAAGATATTGGATTTAATAGCCACCACAGTGTTGCATGGAGAAATGTTCAGCAAGAGTTGACATTTTCTAATGGTCGTTGACTTGTATATCAAGTAGACCTGGCTATGTTTCAGTGAGGATTATACGAGTTAGAATCCACACCAATATACAGTTACCTGGCTATGATAGTAAGTCCGCATGAAAAAACAATGTTTATAACAATTTACCCTGAGCTTGAAGCCAAACTGTCCGTATTCCCTTATTTCCAAAGCTACTTCACCATGTGAAGATGAATGATAATTATTAAGGTTTCAACATCACTATCATGAAATGGTGTGCTTGAGTATGTAGTTATAGTTTACTGGTCAGAGAATATGCAACTTTCTTTAGTATTAATTATTACATTTCTCATAGAATGTATCAATCACGCAACAAGATATTCATATTGGCGTTAATTAGCCACTAGCTACGTATTCATACACGGAGCACCATGACGCAGGAAGCAATTCTGAGAAATATTCAATGCTCGGTGACTTCTGATTAGTGAAGACAACCTCTCCCACTTTCATTTAGATGATTAGCAGGCCTTTTTTTTGTTGAGAACATCATTTTATGGGAACGCAATCGACAATTGAAGCGCTATGCAAAATATATATGTTCCAACAAATAACTTGGTAATATAATAGACACTGGTGTGCAATATACTACATCAGTGATTTTAGTCAGGCAATAGTTGCTTAATTAGTGTCACACAAAAGGATATTGGCATTAAAAGCCACCAGACTTGCCATGGTGACGTACATATGAAGAAATGTTCATAACTAGTTGACATTCTAATGGTCGTTGACTAAGACTAAGATTTGAGAGACCTAGTTTTTGTTTCATAGGCAACGAAAAACATTAAAAAAATGGCAAGTGCATGAAAGAAAACAATTCCAGACAAGGAGCCATTATTGTCACGTATGAAGAAACCAAAAGCAGAAAATATGATCTGATATGTGAGTGATCAAAGAAAAAAAAAGATTTTTGTCGACTTCGAGTTCATATATAGGACAGGACCATACACACTTCAATAAAATTACAAAGAAAGGACACAACCGGTCAAAGCCACAAGTTCGCTAAGTGGTTTCATTATTAGTCGTATTACTTGCAGAGCACGCTATTCAACAGTGGAGGGTTTTTTCTTCCTGAGAACAAGATAAAGAACCAATGCGGCAATGAGGATAGCTCCAGAACCATCCGATGCAACAACTGGCACTAGAATGCTAGTTTTTAGTTGGATTTGTCGGTGAACCAGAGGAAACAAGCCTTGGGTTTCCTTGCACACTACAAGAAGACAAAAAGTTTTTGTTTTTTACATGCATCAAATTTATAAAATAGGTTGTGGATATATAATAACAGAGAAAAGTTCAAAAGATATGTAGAAAGTTTCTTACAGTAGCTCGAGTCCTTTCCTCTGTAGAGATTGAGGAATTGTACCATTAAGATCGTTCCCGCTTAAGTTTCTGCATGCAAAAGAGCATTAATGACTCCGAGGTGGAATTCTAAAAACTGTTCTTGAAAGAAACTTACATGAAAAAGAGTGATTGCATGTTGCCTAGAAACTCCGGCACCTCTCCGGTCAAGTTATTACTCGACAAGTCCCTGATGTTTGCAAGAGAGAATCCATCCATATTAAAACAACTTTTTTAGCCTTCAATTAACAATAATAGTCAATAGGAACACTTACAGTTTTTCTAGTAGCGTAAGATTTTGAATGGCAGCTGCTATGCTTCCAGTTAAACCACTTGAAGACATGTTTCTGATGAAATATTCAAAATCACATTCAAAGAGTTAATTATTAATGATTTTGAAGAGTGAGTTTGCATGCATGCAAGATGTGTGCTAATGACTTACAAAGAAGTGATTCTTGGTGGTGTGGTGATATCAGTGTTGCTGCAGTTTAAAGCATCCCATCTGAGCTGTTGAGGGAAGCATGGATCGCCTTGCCAATTGATTCTACTCAATCCATATGTGCTTTCAATGTTTCTCATAGCAGCCACTAATCACATTAACATTTTCAAGATGTTATAAATTAAAACCAACGTACAAAAAAAATATGCATAAGACTGAGAGAACCACACACTGGAAACATACCTTCGGTTTCATTTGTTTCAGACTGCGGAAATTGGATAACCGTAAAGATTTCAAAAGCGTTAAGTAGAGGTGGAAGTGTTGATCTGCTGGTTCTTATCAGCTGAAACATACATTCCCCACCAGGGCAATTCCTTGGAGAGACGCTGAAGCTAGTACTTACCCTTAACTTGTTAGGAATTATAGGCTCGGCTGATATGACTTCTCCATTCCACACCATGTTGAATTCTCTGGTATCAGTACTCCGCAAGTCTTGGATCTCAGCAAAGTGTCTATACATGTAATACTGGTCATCAGGCTTTTCTGGATTACTCCATTCAAGCGTCAATGGCTCACTGGCATTAGTAGGTATGGCTGCAGTTGCAAGTGCGGCTTTTGGTGGATCATAGCTGTTGTTATTTGCCACAATGCTAGTGGTGGATACTTGTGTCCACTCATCCTGAAAGTACGCAAGCCATTGCCGATCATATATATCATTCTTGTACCTGATTAGGGTGGAAACAATATTGTTTAGCAAGAATGGATAATCTTATAATAAGATTATATTTCTCTGTTCCATTGTAATCTTACAAGATTTTTCAGAATTTTAGGTTTGTAAAAAAGGGTTTTTTTTTTGGTTTGAATATAATTTAACATTCAATTCCACAAAAAGACAGAGCAAAAGCAAATATATAATTACCTGATGTATCTCGTTGATTGGGTAAGATATAAACGAAACATAAGACTGAGAGAACCAGACTTGGTGATGTAAGAATTATTTCCCAAGGGCCTTATCTCCAAGGCTGAGATCAAAGGTGTAGTTACACCAGTCTTGACAAGACAAATCTGCAGCGAGTTTGATGTTGGGATGTGAAAGATCTCTTTGGTTGTACCATTCACTCGTTTTTCCAAATCTATCGTGGCCCATGGATTAGGTCCAAGATACAGATCAAACTTGGGTCTCACGTCAAGGCCATCATAGTTTCCATAGAAAAACCAACCCCTGATCAGATGGTTTCTTCCCTTCTCCACGGGTACATTGTAGCAGTTGCGTGTTCCTTCTGGAAAATATCTCAACGTTGCGTACGGCTTCATGAGCCTACTCTCCACATCTGCTGCAACTCATACCAATTTTTCCACTCTTGATGTATGTTGCGTCCGTAGAGAACTGTATTTCAGTTGTAGCTTCACTGTAAGGAGACGGCTCATTCGCGGGGAGCCCGCAATCCAAACTGATGAACCCTGTAAATAAAAAGCAGATAGAATTGTCATATACAAGAAAAATTAAGAAACAAAATGGTAACAAGAAGAAGACGTATACGCATATAGATATGTATGTGTCACTTAAGAGCTAAGAAGATGTGGATACCTTGTTGGCTCGGACTCTGAGCTTCAACAATATGAATGATGGCCAAAGTTCCGATTAGCAGCAACATAAGTCCAAGAGACCTCTCCATTTTTTTTCTCTTACCTAGCTACCAACGAATAACCAAGATAACAATTGTCTAGGCTGAGAGGATAAAAGGAGAGAATATATAAGCAAACCCGAATTGGAAACTTAAAAAAAAAAAATACTTTTTAAAGTCAGTGGAACGAATGAGTAAATGTGTTTTCTAGTGCAACTTCCCCCTGGGAAGAAGAATAAGGATAAGAGGGTAACAACGTTCCAGCATCACGATTATGAACTTGATTGGGTCTTATACTATTATCTCTAATGCTACTTCATCATGAGAAAAAAAAATGATAATAGATAATGTTTCAACATAACGATCATGAAATGGTATGCTTGAGTATGTAGTTTTAGTTTACTGGTCAGAGAATATGCCACTTGCTTTTAGTATTACACTTCCCATAGAATGTATCAATCACGCAACAAGATATTCATATAAGCTTTAAATAGCCACTAGATTCGGCAGTGCTGAGTCAACTGCTGAGTCAGGACCATGACGCAGGAAGCAAATTCTGAGAGATAGTCAATGCTCGTTAACTTTGGATTGGTGAAAGACAACCTCTACCACTTTCATTCAGATGATTTGTGGGCCTAATTTTTTCTATTTCATCCTTGTTTGGAAACGCAATCGACAGTTAAAGTGCTAAAGTCGCGTTCGAAAATTAGTATTCACAAAGAGTGAAATTAGGATTTGTACGGCCAATGATTATGATTATCCAAATCCAAAAGAGCTATCAATCATCATCTTAATGAGTCTTCACGGAGTGGTACTTAAAGAGTCAAACACCCATATTACAACGAACCAAAAAGTCTACCAAAGAATATGACATGTCAAAGCAAAATGTGGCTCTTAATTAGTACATTTCTTGTTTTGGTGAGACTTCTCTCGCAAATTACGACGGCTGCTTTTTTCTCTCTGGTTTATGAAAGCAACCAAAATTTCCAGTGGAAATTGTTGTATCAGCTACTTCTAATGGTCGTTGACTAGGTTTTGAAGGACCTAGCTTTGTTTCATAGGCAACAATCTTTATGTCAATTATCAAAGAAAAGAATTGAAAATGTCGACTTCGACTTCATATATAAGACCATACACACTTTCATGGGCATTTAGCTAAAATCGTAACAAAACATTGATTTGATGATAGCATTATTGGTAACACAAGCAGACACAACACATAAACTTATCTTGCCGTGGGAACCACCGACGTGTCCAAGCTAGTGGTCGTTTCCAAGCCTGGATTCTTGGTCATCCCCTCAATGCACTCTTTTAGCTCGTTTATAACCTTAGACATGGATGGCCGTTTTGAGGAAGAAGGATTGGCGCATGACATTGCGAGTTCAAGAGCTTTCCAGGCAGAGTTAGGGTCATAATCATTGCAAAGGTTTGGATCCATAATATTAGTAATATCACCTCGGTTAATCTTAAACCCAACCCATTGTGTTATGTGTAAATTCTCAGAGGTCAGATTAATCACGGGTTGGTTTGTGATCATCTCCAACAAAACGATCCCGAAACTGTAGACATCACTCTTCTCAGACAAACGACTTGTACGGTAATACCTACAACAACAAGTCTTTAATTAACCATTGAACAAGGAAAATATAGTTGTGTATTAGTCTCAAAACTAATAACACACTTACTCAGGATCAAGGTATCCAAGAGTACCAACAACAGCCGTTGCACTTGCGTCCCGAGTTTCGCCTCCACTTTGGAAAGATCTTGAGAGACCACAATCAGCGAGTTTGGCCTTGAAATGCTCGTCCAGCAATATGTTTGCAGTTTTGACATCTCTATGAACCATCGGCGGTGTGCATCCAATATGTAAGTACTCCAATCCTATCCATGCAATGGTGTCATTTCATACATATCAAATGATCTTGTCCTACTTTTTTTTAACAAAGTACGAACCTAGTGCTGCTTCCAAAGCTATTCGTAGTCGAATACTCCAGTTGACGATGGATGATCCATCTCCTTTTCCTGTATATTAGACTGTTAGATCCATTCTAGTTTCATAAATTAAGAATGCTACATAAAAAAACACATCACCTGACAAATGTTGTTTTAAGTCTCCATTGGGAAGCAACTCGTAGATGAGGGCCAAGTGATCTCCTTCATAGCAATACCCGACGAGGCTCACCAAATTTGTATGGTGAACTCTTAGAAGAAGATCAACCTGAGGAAAGACCCATGTCAAGAAGATATTGAAGTCTTTGGTGATATAAACACACCGTAGTTAGTTCTTGAGAAGATTTCAGAGCTATGAATACCTCTGCTTGATATTCTTTATAGCCCTGAGTTGAAGTCTGAGAGAGTACTTTCACAGCCACTTCGGAACCGTTTAGAGTAGTACCGTGATACACCTCGCCGAACCCTCCTCTGCCTAAAACTCTTTGGAAGTTATTTGTCATTTTGATGACCTCTGAATATGTGAACCTTCTGCTTTTCTTATTAGCAAATGTATCATTCACCGTTGACGTCCATGGTAGCAGGTGTCGTAGACCTGTACATCAGATCAGAATAAGCATGTTTTTAAACAAAAAATTGTATCTCTTCTTTTAAAGCAACTTCGAAACGACGTTCACGAGATTTCGAATTTGATGTCTCTTGCCAATTACCTTGCAGATACGTGGACTTTTTATTTTTAAGTACAAGAAAAAGAACCAATACAGCAACGACAATGGTTGCAGAAGCAACAGATGCAACAATTGGAATAAGAACTTTCTTCTTTGGCGGTTTTCTACATGTTTCAGAGAGACAAAGCTTTGGGTTTCCTTCAACACTACAATTTGAAAAGGGTTGTTCAATGTTCAGGACAGTCAATGCATAAAAGCAGTGTAGACAATAACTGAGAAAATTTCTGAAGCGATATATATGTGGGAAGTTTCTTACAGTAGCTCGAGTCCTTCCCTCTGTAGAGATTGAGGAATTGAACCATTAAGATCGTTCCTGCTTAAGTTTCTGCATACAAAAGAGCATTAACGACTCCGAGGTGGAATTCAAAAAATCAATAGAATTTTTTGAAAGAAACTTACATGAACAACAACGATTTCATGTTGCCTAGAAACTCCGGCACCTCTCCGGTCAAGTTATTATTCGACAAGTCCCTAAATGTTTGCAAGAGAGAATAGCTTATCCAATATTTTCCCCATTCATAATATAACAACTTTTTTAGCCTTCAATTAACAGCACTCAATACGAATACTTACAGCCTTTCTAGTAGCGTAAGATTCTGAATGGCAGTTGCTATGCTTCCAGTTAAACCACTTGAAGACAAGTTTCTAGTGAAATGTTCAAAATCATAATCAAAGTGTTAATGATCACAATTACTATCAGAATCTTGAAATATTTTTACATGTGCTACTAAACTTACGACTTACAATGAAATAATTATTGGTGGCAAGGACATATTCGTGTTGCTGCAGTTTAAACCGTCCCACCTAAGCTGTTGAGGGACGCATGGATCGCCTTGCCAGTTAATTCTACTCAATCCATAGGTGGTCTCAATGTTTTTCATAGCAACCACTGGCAGAAACAGGTTTTGATGCTATTAAGTACTATGTTGTGTTTACATACGATTCATTCGTTTACACACATAAGAAAGCATGCATAGACCTATAAAAAGAAAATAACATTCACGACATACCGTGGCTTTCATCTGTTTCGGACTGCGGAAACTGAATAACTGTGTAGACCTCCAAAGCATTAAGTAGAGGTGGAAGAGTTGAGTTGTTGGTTCTTATCAGCTGAAAACTACATTTCCCTTTGCAAGTTAGCGGTGACTTGTTCGAGATGGTATTTATGCCTAGCCTTTCTGGAATTAGAGCGTAACGCTGTTCTCCATTCCATACAATGTTGAATTCCCTGGTTTCACTTGCCTGCAAGTCTTGGATCTCAGAAAAGTGTGCGTAGTAGTAATATTGATCATCAGGAATTCCTGAGATCCATTCAATCGTCAATGGCGCACTGGCATTAGTAGGCGTGGCAGCATTTCTTAACACATCTTCCGCTGGATCATAACTGTTGGAATTGGTCACTTTGCGATCAGTGGAAATCTGGGTCCATTCCTTCTGAAAGTACGGTGTCCATATGCGATCATACATGTCGCTTGCATACCTTAGGGTCAAGGAACAATAGCATTCATACAAAAGAAAACAAGAGACGCAGAAAAAAATAAAAACAGCAAGAGCCATTCTTGAGTTGAAGTCGACTTACCGTATCTGAGATGTTGACTCGCTAATATCACGCCAGAAGTATAGACTCAAGGAACCAGACTTGGTGATATAAGAATCACTCCCCATGGGACGTAACTCCAAGGCGGATAAAAGCGGTGTACTTGTCCCAGTCTTGACAAGACAAATCTTCAACGAGTTTGATGTTGGGTTGTGTAAGAGATCTTTCCGTGTACCATTCACCTGTGTTTCTAAATCTATCGTTGCCCATAGGTTAGGTCCAAGATAAAGATCGAACACCGGTTTAATGTCAAAACCATCGTAGTTTCCATATACAAAGGAAGCTCTGATCAAATATTTACGACCCTTGTCAACTTTCAGATTGTAGCAGTTTCGTATTCCATCTGGAAAATACCTCATCGTTGTGTATGGCTTGAGGTATCTACTCACCAGATTTGCTTGGATTTTACCAGAGTTTCCGGTGTGGATGAATGTTGCGTCCGAGGAGAAGTTAAGCCTGGTAAATTTCTCATTATAAGGGGTCTGTTCGTTCGGAGCTAGCCCGCAATCCAAACTGATGAACCCTGCTGAAGTGTTTAACAAACGTGGTCAAGTAATGATTAACCATCTAAACTAGTGCACTTCTCAAAAGTCAGAACCAAAATGTTTCAAGCAACAAGTAGGAACTAGCTAGCAAGTAGGAAGGATGTATATATATATAGAACAAATCAAAATATCTGATACCTTGTTGGTCTTGAGCTTGAACAATATGCGTATATTGAGCTAAAGTTGCAATTAGCAAGAACAAAAGCACAACATAACACTCCATGTTCTCCTAACTCTCAAGATAATCATTGGCTAAGCTATGGAAGATAAATAGAGGCAACCCCAAGAAAGACTTTTGACAAGTCAATGGTTGATAGATATTCTCAAAGTTAGTTTCCACAATAAAACCAAAAAACTACTTTTTAATTTAAGAGGGACGTCGCTTTAACGTTAGGTGGCATGGTTTATTCGGCTTCAAAAGTCTTTCTGTTATTGTTTTTTTTTAATTCTTTTCACAAATTAACGTGAATGTGAACACAAACTCATACTCATGACTCGAGTGCAAAGTCAAACACAAACCAGGAACCGCTTAAGTAGATAGTAATAAAAAATCATGCAATATCTTACAGGTACGCTTTACAAAAGTTTATGATTCTCTAGTTTTAGTTCTATGATCATAAGCCAAGCTGCTGTATAACTTTAGAGCTATACATAAAGTAAAGACGGTGAGGCCGTGAGGGTTAAGAGGACAACATTGAGTCCAAGATTAATGGGAAAACAGGTAGCAAACACAGAGGCACACGTTAAGCAATAAATTTTGCACATCAAAGAAGATATATAATATAAGAGAAGTCCAACAAGAATGTGCTTTCTTTGTTTTGACAGCTAACACTAATTTGTGAGTCTGCTATGTTTAGGCTAAGGTGTTTATTTCGTTTAAGAGCAGAGATGAGTCAATATGATATCACAAGCATATCCCTTTTTCTTTAGTTTTAGTAGAGAAGTAGATTTGAGACAACAATAATATAAAAAAGACTCACTTGTTTGGTAGTCTAGTACGTTTTAGCTAAGAAGATTAGCCAAACTCTAAATTTGAAGAAGCAGTTGACTTTCTCATGGTTCGTTGACTAGGATTAGCAGACCTAATTTTTTGCTTCATTCGTGAGTACGCAGAGCTTAAAACAAGTTCATTATGAATTACAAATTCTAGTGAAATGAGTCGAGTTGTTCAAAAAAAAAGTGAAATGAGTCGCATAAGCTTCGGAAATTTCAGAGAAGCAAACCTCTTTAGATAAGTCAAGCGGCATCGAATTCGAGAGCAATCTGGGTCTTTCTTCAATGTAGTATCAGGCTGCTGGCTTCGGCGATTCGAGGACTGAGAATCTCCGGTGATCAAAGATGGCGCGGCCTCCGCTCGTGCTGAATCAATTGGCGTGAGCGACAGAAAAATAGAAAGGCCACGTGTCACGTCGCTCGCCGTCATATTGATTTCAGTGTCACGCCGGTGTTGTGTTTATCGTTCGTGTGATAGTGAAGTGTCTTTTTCCCGGTCGCCGACGCCGCCGATCGCTTCGACCTCGATAAAGAAGAAGAACAGGCCCAAGGTCTCCTTTGGGTTTAAAGGCCCATACATACTTTTTGGGGTTTTTGGGAACCAATTCTAAATTTTCTTAACGAAAATATCATACCCACTCTGTTGACATGAACTAGTGTAGAACGTAGACAAGGCCGTTTAACTGAAAGCATACACACTTTAATCAAAAATACTCTCGTTTTAACTATTCTTACAAATTTGTAACCAAAATAATTAATTTGTTTGATTTCCATATTGGTAGCACCACCATATTACAAAATACTCGTTATACACAGAGAAAGGGTACGACCGGTCAAAGCCACAAGTTCGTTATGTGGTTTCACTATTGGACGTGTTACTTGCAGAACACACTATCTTGCTCTAGGAATCATCCCACTATCAAAGATCATGCTCACTTCAGGGGAATTCAGTGAATCCATGCCTTGGCTCATATTTCTCTTCGAGTTTTCAGAAACAAGACACTCTTTTAGCTCGATAACAACATGAGACATGGTTGGTCGTTTGGCCGAAGTTGGATCCGCGCACGCCATTGCCAGCTCTAGAGCTCTCCAAGCAGAGCGGGAATCATAGTCTCCGTTAAGCTTTGGATCCATGATCTTCGCAATATCTCCTCCGTTAAGCTCAGACCCAACCCAATGTGTTATGTGAGACTTTCTACGGTTTCGATCAATGACTAGTTGGTTTGTGATAATTTCCAATAGCACAATGCCGAAACTGTACACATCGCTTTTCTCACCCAACCTGCTTGTTTGGTAATACCTACAAGGCAAGACCATGGATGTATATATACTCTTCAAGCATTGGACAAGAGAATCAAAAGTTTGAGTATCAATACTTACTCAGGATCAAGATAACCAGGAGTACCAGCAACCACCGTGGAGACATGAGTTTCACCGCCAATTGGGAAAGACCTAGAGAGCCCGAAATCAGCGAGTTTGGCCTTATAATGCTCGTCCAACAATATGTTTGTAGTTTTGACATCTCTGTGAACTATTGGTGGTGTGCATCCAATGTGTAAGTACTCCAAACCTAATGCAATATATTCGTTCATGTTAACTGATTATGTTCAATTAAGTTTTAGCTCTATGGTTAAACTTATAACAGACCTAGGGCAGCCTCCGCAGCTATTCTTAGCCGAGTACCCCAATTGACGATGGGTCTGCCTCCTTTCCCTGTATAATAAGATCATACATCTTGTCTGAGTTTTCAAGAAGAACAATTGTTTCATGAGCTATCATGATATATTACATGTAAATCCACTAGAAAAAGTTTTACCTGATAGATGCTGTCTTAAGTCTTCATTGGGTACAAACTCGTAGATGAGGGCTAAGTGGTCTCCTTCATCGCAATATCCAACAAGACTAACCAAATTCGTATGGTGAACTCTCAGAAGAAGATCAACCTAATGCACACTCATGCAAAGAGAAACAAGAGATCCACATATAAGTTTTGTTATGATTAAAAACAGATACTATTTAGTTGGAAAAGATTGTACTAAAATCTACCTCTGCCTTGAACTCTTTATAGCCTTGAGTTGATGACTGAGACAGTAGTTTAACAGCTACCTGTTGAGAGCCATTGACAGTACCGTGACAGACAACGCCAAATCCTCCTTCTCCTAGGACTCTTTCGAAGTTATTCGTCATTTTTATAACCTCAGAATAACTAAACCTTCTCTTTTTCATCTCGATTGATGGCTCCGGTGAACTACCATGTGTAACATTCGTTTTAGGCCTATTCGGTGGCGGGTGAACAGCTGGTAGATTTGAATATAGGAGTTAGCAAAAACCATATTCATGTGATTTATTGGTTTCTTAGTCTCTTTTGCAAGTTACCTTCAACAGTGGAGGGCTTTTTCTTTCTGAGAACAAGATAAAGCACCAATGCGGCTATGAGGATAGCTACAGAAGCAAGCGATGCGACAATTGGCACTAGAAAGCTCTTCTTAGTTGTCTTTGGGGGTGAACTAGAGGAAACAAGCCTTGGGTTTCCTTGGTGACTACAAGAAGACAGGACATCAAATTTTGTTAAAGGGTTGTGGTTAATAACAGAGAAATGTTCACAAAATATATGTGGGAAGATTAGATTCTTACAGTAGCTCGAGTCCTTTCCTCTCTAGAGACTGAGGAACTGTACCATTAAGATCGTTCCCGCTTAAGTTTCTGCGTACAAAAGAGCATTAATGACTCCGAGGTGGAATTATAAAAACTGTTCTTGAAAGAAACTTACATGAACAACAGTGATTTTATGTTGCCTAGAAACTCTGGCACCTCCCCGGTCAAGTTATTATTAGACAAGTCCCTAAAGTTTTCAGGAGAGAATAAAAAATGAATACACATCCGATTTCTTTGCATACGTATAAAAAATTTATACGCTTCAAATCCAACAATGGACACACTTACAGTTTTACTAGCTGCGTAAGGTTTTGAATGGCAGCTGCTATGTTTCCAGTTAAATTACTTGAAGCCAAGTTTCTGGATTTAAAGTGTTAATTAATGATCTTGAAGAGTGAGTGTGCGTGCATGATGATGTGTAAGTACTAATGACTTACAAAGAAGTGATTCTTGGTGGTGTGAAGATATCCGTGTTGCTGCAGTTTAAAGCATCCCACCTAAGCTGTTGAGGGAAGCATGGATCGCCTTGCCAATTGATTCTACTCAATCCATATGTGCTTTCAATGTTTCTCATAGCAGCCACTGATCACATTAACATTTTCAAATTGTTAGAAAAATCAACGTACAAAGGCTGAAACACACACTGGAAACATACCTTCGGTTTCATTTGTTTCAGACTGCGGAAACTGGATAACCGTGAAGACTTCTAAAGCGTTAAGTAGAGGTGGAAGTGTTGATCTGCTGGTTCTTATCAGCTGAAACATACATTCCCCACCAGGGCAATTCCTTGGAGAGACGCTGAAGCTAGTACTTACCCTTAACTTGTTAGGAATTATAGGCTCGGCTGATATGACTTCTCCATTCCACACCATGTTGAATTCCCTGGTTTCATCGTCCCGCAAGTCTTGGATCTCAGCAAAGTGTCTATACAAGTAATACTGGTCATCAGGCTTTTCTGATTAGTCCACTTCAATCGTCAATGGCTCACTGGCATTAGTAGGTATGGCTGCAGTTGCTAGTGCGGCTTTTGGTGGATCATAGCTGTTGTTATTTGACACAATCTAGTGGTGGATATTTGGTCCACTCATCCTGAAAGTACGCAAGCCATTGCCGATCATATATATCATTCTTGTACCTGATCAGGGTGGAAACAATATTGTTTAGCAAAATCTGAATGGAATAATCTTATAAGATTGCTCTGTTTCATTGTTGTAATCTTGACAAAACCACCCATGAGAGACACAAAAAGCAAGAGATGATTAATGCTGAGTAAGTTGAAGTGTTCTGTTACCTTATGTATTTTTCTGATTTGGTCAGATATACACGAAAGTAAAGACTGAGAGAACCAGAGTTTGTGATATAAGAATTATTTCCCATTGGCCTTATCTCCAAGGCTGAGATCATCGGTGTAGTCTCACCAGTCTTGACGAGACAAATCTGCAACGAGTTTGATGTTGGGATGTGTAAGATTTCTACCCTTGTCCCATTCACTTGTTCTTCCAAATCTATCGTGGCCCATGGATTAGGTCCAAGATACAGAGCAAACTTGGGTTTCACGTCACGGCCATCATAATTGCCATAGAAAAACCAAGCTCTGACCAGATGTTTTCTCCCCTTCTCGACGGGTAGATTGTAGCAATTCCGTCTTCCTTCTGGAAAAAATCTCACCGTAGCGTACGGCTTCATGAGCATACTCTCAAGATTTGATGCAACTGTACCAGTTTTGCCACTCTGGATGTATGTTGCGTCCGAATAGAACTGTAATTCAGTACCAGCGTCAGTGTAAGGAGACGGTTCATTCCCGGTAGCCCGCAATCCAAACTGATGAAACCTGTAAAACATAAATTGAAAATGTAAAACAGATAAAATTGTCATATACAAGAACGATTAAGAACAAAATGGATAATAACAAGGAGACGAATACGCATGCATATATATAATGTATGTGTCACTTAAGAGCTAAGAAGATGTGGATACCTTGTTGGCTCGGACTCTGAGCTTGAACAATATGAATGATGGCCAAAGTTGCAATTAGCACCAGCAAAACAGCAAGAAACCTCTCCATGATCTCTTACTTGCCTAGGAAAAATAAGAAACCATGGCGAAAATATATAAAGCAAACGCCCCAAAAAGAAAGAAAAAACTTTGTCTAAGTCAACTTGTTTTCTAGTGCAACACGACCAAGAAGAAGAATAAGAGGATACTAAATAATCCAACACAACTTGCTTAGTATCACCTTCCAAGAATCTTCAAGGAAGAAGATAGCCACGGGACGGTATATAACGTCCAAATGGGAATGTGTGATTCGAGTGCAGTCCCAACAAAATCATTCATAACCCAAATCATACACTAGAAAGAAGGACTTTGTCAGGTCAATGGTGAAAATGAGTAAATGTGTTTTCTAGTGCCTGCGTCTTCACTCGGGGAAGAGGATGCCGTGATAAAAGGACAATAAAGTTCAAACATCACTTTTCTTGAACGTATTAGTGGAAATTAAGGAGCAAGTCTTTCAAGTGAGAATCTTTTAATTACGACAAGTCCAAGAGGAAAGTGATTAGCGGCTAATCATTAGCCTAATCACAACCATATTCTTTTTATTTACTTCTCTAGTCAGTCTAGTGAACTTGATTTGGGAAATTGTCACACATTTGGTGCAATCGTTTAGTTTCTTCTCAAATCACAGAAAAACACAATGCTTCTAATCCTCGTTTACTTGGATATGTTCATGAATAGAAAAAGTTTCCCTAATACAATGTTCTACCCTGATTTGAAAGAAACAATTTTCCAGATTGAAATTTAGTATTCGTAATCAAAAACCATAAGCTTGAGAATTTCAAAAATTAAACCTGTTTAGATAACTCACAGGCAGCAAAATTCGAGAGAAATCAAGGTCTCTCATCTATCTCAGCCGGGGGATGAGGATTTTCGGTGGTAAAATGACCGTATACGACGGCGAAACTCCCGGCGGAAGAAAGAGAAGAGCGCTTCGCCATCAGCATTCAGCAGTTCCCGGCGGTGAGACCTTTTTCTCCCCCAGCAGTCGCAAACACTCTCCGAATCTCATATTCACTTCTTCAAACCCAGGAATCAATCACCAAAGAAACCAAAATGACTAATTGACTATGTTAAGATACGACGGCGATAGTGATAATTTTTAAGAGAGTAGAACGCGGACTACGACTGGAAACGCAGACAAAGGAAACTCGCGTTTTTAAACGCAACGCTATTATATAATTACAAATTTGTAAATATAGCGGGAAGGCTTATTTTGGGCCGGTTTTGGATGACCCATTACATAAAACTTATCTTGCCAAGGGAAGCACCGAAGAAGTGTCCAAGATAGTGGTCATTTCCAAGCTTGGATTCTTGCTACTTATCCCCTCAATACACTCGTGTAGCTCGTTAACAACTTTAGACATGGATGGTCGTTTTGAGGAAGAAGGATTGGCGCATGACATTGCGAGTTCAAGAGCTCTCCATGCAGAGTTAGAGTCATAGTCCTTGCCAAGGTTTGGATCCATAATCTCTGTAATATCACCTTGGTTCATCTTAAAGCCAACCCACTGTGTTATGTGTAAGGTCTGATTAATCACGGGTTGGTTTGTGATCATCTCCAATAACACGATCCCGAAACTGTATACATCACTCTTCTCACACAAACGCCTTTCATGGTAATATCTGCAAGACAACAACAACAACAACAACATTGTAACATACCCTTCTAACCATTGCACAAGGAAATTAAAAAGTTTCAGGAAAACTAATAACAGAAACTTACTCGGGATCAAGGTATCCAAAAGTACCAACAACCGCCGTTGCATCCTGACTTTCGCCACCAACTTGGAAAGATCTTGAGAGACCAAAATCAGCGAGTTTGGCCTTGAGATTCTCGTCAAGCAATATGTTTGCAGTTTTGACATCTCTATGAACCATCGGTGGTGTGCATCCAATATGTAAGTACTCCAATCCTATGCAATGAAGTCAATTATATCAACTGATTTGCAGTAAACCCCATTGAATCGTATATCTTGTCCTTTACGGTTTTTAACAAAGTACGAACCTAGAGCTGCCTCCAAAGCTATTCGGAGTCGAATACTCCAGTTGATGATGCATCCATCTTTTCCTGTATACTAGACCGTTACATCCATTCGAGGTTTCTACATGAGCTAGTACTGCACGTGAAATCACTATAAGAATATCACCTGACAAATGTTGTTTTAAGTCTCCATTGGGCAGATACTCGTAGATGAGTCCCAAGTGATCTCCTTCATAGCAATACCCGACGAGGCTCACCAGATTTGTATGGTGAACTCTCAGAAGAAGATCAACCTAAAGGTAAGACTCATGCCAAGGAAGATATTGAAATCCATCACAACCTTTAACAAGTATGATTTAGTTGGCTAGAGCTATGGATACCTCAGCTTTGAATTCTTTATAGCCCTGAGTTGAAGATTGAGAGAGTAGTTTAACAGCCACCTCTTGAGATCCATTTAAAGTAGTACCGTGATACACCATGCCGAAGCCTCCTCTGCCTAAAACGTTTTGGAAGTTATTTGTCATTTTGAGGACCTCTGAATATGTGAACCTTCTGCTTTTCTTATTAGCAAATGTATCATCCACGGTTGGCGTCCACGGCAGCAACTGTACTAGACCTGTACATCCGAATAATGTCTTTCATCTCTTCTTTACATATGTATTTCGTATTTGATGTCTCTTTCAAATTACCTTGTAGATACGTTGACTTTTTACTTTTAAGTAGAAGGAGAATAACCATTACAGCAATGACTATGGTAGCAGAAGCAACCGATGCAAAAATTGGAATAAGAACTTTCTTCTTTGGCGGTTTTCTACATGAATCAGAGAGGCAAAGCTTCGGGTTTCCTTCTACGCTACAGTTAGAAAAGGGTTGTTCAATGTTCAGGACAGTAAATGCACAAAAGGGTTGTAGATAATAACTGAGAACACTTCAGAAGCTATATATGTAGGAAGTTTCTTACAGTAGCTCGAGTCCTTTCCTCTGTAGAGATTGAGGAATTGAACCATTAATATCGTTCCCGCTTAAGTTTCTGCATACAAAAGAGCATCAATGACTCCGAGGTGGAGTTCTAAAAAGCAATAGAAAATAATATTCTTGAAAGAAACTTACATGAACAAGAGTGATTTCATGTTGCCTAGAAACTCCGGCACCTCTCCGGTCAAGTTATTATTCGACAAGTCCCTGATGTTTGCAAGAGAGAATAGAGTATCCAATAATTTCCCCATCCATAATATAACAACTTTTTTAGCCTTCAGTTAACAACACTCAATAGGAATACTTACAGTTTTTCTAGTAGCGTAAGATCTTGAATGGCAGCAGCTATGTTTCCAGTTAAACCACTTGAAGACAAGTTTCTAGTTAAATGTTCAGAATCACATTCCAAGTGTTACTGATCAGAATCTTGAAGATTTTTTACTTGTACTACTAAAACTTACGACTTACAAAGCAGTGATTTTTGGTGGTACGGACAGAAACGTGTTGATGCAGTTTAAACCGTCCCACCTAAGCTGTTGAGGGACGCATGGATCGCCTTGCCAATTAATTCTACTCAATCCATAGGTGGTCTCAATGTTTCTCATAGCAACCACTGACATAAACAGGTTTTGTGATGATTAAGTACTATGTTGTGTTTATATACGATTGATTTGTTTACTAACACAAGAAAGCATAGACCTGGAAAAGAAAATAACATTCACGACATACCGTTGGTTTCCTCTGTTTCGGACTGCGGAAAGTGAATAACTGTGTAGACCTCAAAAGCATTAAGTAGAGGCGGAAGAGTTGAGTTGTTGGTTCTAATCAGCTGAAAGCTACATTTCCCTCCTTTGCAAGTTATCGGTGAGTTGTTCGAGATAGTATGTAAGCCTAGCCTTTGTGGAGTTAGAGAGGCATAACTCACTTCTCCATTCCACATCACGTTGAATTCTCTGGTTTCATTTTCCTGCAAGTCTTGGATCTCAGAAATGTGTGCGTAGTAGTAATATTGATCATCAGGTCTTAGATTAGTCCATTCAATCGTCAGTGGCGCACTAGCATTAGTAGGTACGGCTGCTGTTGCAAGGGCGACTTCCGGTGGATCATAGCCGTTAGAATTGCGCACTTTGAGACCAGTGGATATCTGTGTCCATTCCTTCATAAAGAACGGAAGCCATAGGCGATCATAGACATCTGTCATGTACCTGCGCAACAAAACATTTTGTCTTACAAACAAAAGGTATGATCTTTTGCACTGTTTTTCCTTGACAAAAACCAGCCTTTGTGTTGAAAATTGTAAACAGGCACAAGGACGCAAAAGAAAAAGGAGATGATACAGAATAAAAACAGAGCAAACCACAGCAGAAAGATTACTTAGTACTTACCGTAGGGTAGATCCCGACTTGCTATGATAGCTACGGATGAAATAACTCAGGGAGCCAGACTTAGTGTTATAAGTGTCATTTCCCATCGGCCGTAATTCCAACGTTGATATTAACGGTGTAGTCCTCCCAGTCTTAACCAGACAAATCTGCAACGAGTTTGATGTTGGGACATGTAACATCTCGCTCTGTGTACCATTCACAAGTTTCTCCAAATCTATGGTGGCCCATATATTAGGTCCAATATAAAGATCAAACACCGGGTTAATGTTTTGACCATCATAGTTTTCATAGATAAAATAAGCCCTGATCAAATGTTTCTTTCCCTTCTCTACACTCAGATTGTAGCAGTTCCTATTTCCATCTGGAAAATATCTCAGCGTTGTGTATGGCTTTTTGAAACCACTCTCTCGATTTGCTTGGATTCTACCAGTTTTTCCGCTCTGTATGAGACTTTCGTCTGAAGAGAACCACAGTCCAGTCGTAGTCTCTTTATAAGGAGAAGTCTCGTTTGCGGGTAAACCGCAATCCAAACTGATGAACCCTGTTAAATAATACACATTGTACAGATTAACCATTCAAACCAGTGCACTTCTGAGAACAAAAACGTTTTGTAGAGAATTTGTCAAGAAAAAGAAGACGTTTGTAGAAGGAGCAAGGATGTATATAGAA